CCAAAATGTAAAATTTGACGTGATAAATAAGAGACATATTGTCAGCATTTTCTTGTTACCAAACCCCCCATTACAGTAACTTAAAAAATAGTTGAATGAACCGTTATTATTGACTTTTTTATACGGTTTCAGTCATAATGGCCCTCCAAGCGAAACGGGCACTAAAATGTGGCCCACGACAAAAATGTCATACACTAAATATACATTAAAAAATAGACGCTAAAACAATTAGTCTCAAAATCCTTTAAAGTTCTGCTTTTGGAATTATTTCCCGAACCTCGAATTCATAACTAACAACCTTCAATTGTTACGTTTTGATGACAAATCCTTTTTTGCTTTCACTGTCTGTTGTATTTCATAAATCTGCCCTCTGTTATAAAATTTGTTGTCTGGTGTTTGACTGAGAAAAAAAAAAAATACACCAAGAACAGTTCGCCAAGCCACGGGCTCTGCGATTGCAACACGGTGACACAAAATGATATTTACCAGATCAGCTAACAGTTGACCCTTTGGCTTCTTCTACTTCTTCTTCTACGACACTTTCTTGATCGTTCCTGTGGCTTTTTGCTGCCTCCCACGGTTCAGTCTTGGCACTACAAGGGACATTTGGTTGCGGAGAAGAGACTCATGATACTGTTATGTGAGCGGTGTGCTAATGACCTTCAGTGCAACACACATTATTTGAGCAGGAAGCACGCATTTGAAAATTTTGTCCTTGTCGTGTTGTGGGTTTCTCACACATTAAAAATCCACGAAGCCCCGAAAGGTCCGCCTAAAAGGCTTTCAATCACAAACCCAAAAGATTGCGCTCTTGCATGAGGACTTGTTGGCTACGGGTGGGCACACCCGACTTGCAACTACTCTTTCCTGTATCTCAGTCTGTCTTGGAAGCTTGTCAGGAATGTTTTTGCTGAAAGTCCGGTTTCACTCAATAAGCCCGCGTGCAGCCATAAGCTCCAAGCGATGCCAATCACCCCGCACATCCTGCTCCTCGGAAATGGGTGAACGGAAATGGGACGCAAGACATCGGTTGTCCACACGTGATAGGAATCGCATTTGTAGACAGAGACGGCAAGGGGCAAGGAACGAGAAAATAGACTGTACGATGAGAGAAGATCTCTTCAGTGCATTCGTGTATTTCCAGTGTGTGTGTGTGTGTGTGTGTGTGTGTGTGTGTGTGTGTGCGTGCGTGTGTGTGCATGCATATGTGTGTTGTGCATTTACTGTATGTGCAGTTATTTTTGATGAATGCGACCTGACGGATGCTGTAACCCCAAAGCCTGCCCCTGCTTCCTCTTTAGCCCTCCTGTCATGACTGAATATCAATGTCAAGCCACCTTCCCTTTTTTTTGTATGTGTGGGACACATAACACACACACACACACACACCCACACACACACACACACACACACACATCTTAAAAACAAGTTTTAATTCAATGACTTGCACAACAGCTACAGCTGTAGCAAAGCGCTTTGCAAAACAGTTAACATGAAGTGAGTAATAAACACATTTTTAAATCGGCTTTTTTCAACATCAGTTTTTAAAAGACCTCTAGAAATTAAGGTTCATTCGATGCATTCTTTGTTATTGCAAAGTAGAATTCCACTTCCAGGAATGACCATAATGGTTCCTTTTTCCACCAACTAGTTTCTTGAAAGTGTTTTGCTCACAAGTGACCTCATGGTGCCTTGCCAAGCAACTACTCAGAAGTGCTCCACTGTAGTCATGTCAACCGTTTATTCAAAGCTTAGCGTTGGGTTGTTCAAATGTTCAAATGCAATAATACTTCCACAACAAAAACGGCAATAAAAAATCAAAGCAAATGTGCCCATCTCAAATTGCTTTCTGCCATCATCCAGACCCTTTGGTGGTTCTATTTGGAATGCATTTCACTTGACACTCTTGTAGTGTTCATCCTGAGATGCTCACCGCACATGAGGTCTCGGCAAATACGGTGACATGACCAAGGTGAGACATTTTTAATTGTTTGACCGACAAACTCTTTGGAGGTTTCCACCGTTGTCAACGAGTACCAACAAGAGAGAGTTACAATATTATATTCTATCTCCTGTTGAGCATGGAGAAGACTCAACAATGATCTTCAGTTTTACACTTCATGTACTGTTGGGCCCTGTGTGGAGTTTGCATGTTCTCCCCGGGCCTGCGTGGGTTTTCTCCGGGTACTCCGGTTTCCTCCCACATTCCGAAAATATGCATGGCAGGCTGATTGAACACTCGAAATTGTCCGTAAGTGTGGGTTTGAGTGTTGTTCATCTCTGTGTGCCCTGCGATTGGCTGGCAACCGGTTCAGGGTGTCCCCCGCCTACTGCCCGAAGACGGCTGGGATAGGCCCCAGAACCCCCCGCGACCCTCGTGAGGAGAAGCGGATTGGAAAATGGATGGATGGTACTGTTGGGCTCTTAAGGAACCACACACACACACACACACACACACACACACACACACACACACACACAATGTCACAGTGTCAAAGTGTCTCAGTCATTCCAAATCAGTTGTGGCCGCTTTGTGACCAAAATCAGAATCAGGCGATTTGCAGCCAGGTTATCCCTCACGTGTCAGCTCTGATCGACACCACGACATAATCTAACAATTGCCTGCCACATTTCCCGGGGGATCAGCGGCAAGGTGGAAGTGGGAGGTATGTAGCACCGCGGCGCCTCTGAATTAACTTTTAACAAGCGTTCGGCATGACCTCGTTTAATAAAATTGTCGCGCTGGCAACTGTAGTGGCTGATGAGGGGAAATAACTGATTGTGCTCATTTCTGGAAAATGTACTGAGTGAAAAGTCAAAATGGAACAGCAGTCGACCGCTCTTTAATGAGACCGTGATTACCATTCAAGCACCGCCAAGTGCTAATGCCAACTCTCGTCATTATTCTAACGTGGCTCATATGAACTCTGCAGCAAAGTGCGCCTCTGCAAATATAATCAATCCGGTCCAAAATAGACAGGAGGCCTCGTGTGTCAAATAAATATTTGTACGGTATGCAAATCAAGGAATGTGTAATAGTTCACCTCGTGCAGGAAAACACACACATGGATGTTCTTTCAGTGCGCTTGCATTTTATTCAGCAAATAATGACACCATGGACTGTTTAATATACATTCAGGTGACCGACACGACACAATGATGGAGAAGTGCATCCATGACGTCCTGTTGCACAACAAGCCACTTCATTTCTGTCTGACTGACTGTCGATACCGAATCTTTGGTCATTTAGGACAGTCTGTTCCACCAAACGTTGGAATGTAACTGCATGTTTTGATGCCATCGTAAGACGATGACGTGACCGCGACCCTTGATCAGTGACGCGATTCGAAACGGACATACTTTTGTTGATTTTTGTGCAACTGAATCGCATATATCTCCATCGAAGCTTGCAATCAAACTACAAAAATAACAATAATAATAATAATAATAATAATAATAATAATAATAATAATAATAATAATTAAATCCCTGTGGTGACCTACAGGAGCCACATGGGGGCGGATACGGGTAAACACTTGAATACTGTACTGCATTTTGGCATGATGATGGAAGTCCATCCAGATACATTTCATCCTTTGAATGAGCTATAAGGCGCTGAGAGGACTGCATTGGGTTACTCTGTCCGCTTCGCACTGTCTGTAAGGCTATTCTCAGTTTTCACACTCAAGGCTCTATTTTCATGCACAATGCAAGGCTGGCGCGAGGCCCACGCAGCTTGGTGCCATTAAAAAAAAAAAAAAAGTGGGGGGTGTTTTGCACAGCCGACGTTATGATTGGAAAAATATTCATTCATTTTCCAAACTGTTTTATCCTCACTTGGGTCGCGGGGGGGGTGCTGGAGCCTATCCCAGCTGTCTTCGGGCAGTAGGCGGAGGACACCCTGAACCGGTCGCCAGCCAATTGCAGGGCACACAGAGATGAACAACCAACTCACACCTAGGGACAATTTAGAGTGTTCAATCAGCCTGCCATGTATGTTTTTGGAATGTGGGAGGAAACCGGAGTACCCGGAGAAAACCCACGCAAGCACGGGGAGAACATGCAAACTCCACACAGGAAGGCCGGAACTGGAATTGAACCCGGCACCTCTGCACTGTGAAGTCGACGTGCTAACCACTCGACTACCGGGCCGGCAATTGGAATAATAGAATTGAGATCATGAGAATAAGAATGCATTCAATGAATTGAGTCCAACAGTCATTCAGAAGGTTCGATGCCTGTCGTCATTATAATTTTATGAATGAAAAATGATGACACCCCCCCCCCCTCCCCACGTGTAGGTGGTGCGCCGAATCTGTTTCCCTGTGCCCTGATTCAAATTCACCAATCCCGCATTTGACTTTATGAGGCAAAAGCTAACAGTGGTTTCACCGGGCATAAAGTTTAGTCGATTTTCAGCCGCCCAATTGTCAAGTGCGCGGGGCACATGTCAGGAGGAGCTCCCTCAGTGTGCCAGAACACCCACCATGACATACTGTAGAGCGGTCTGCCAAATTCCCACACAGGCAAAACAAAGGTTGCACCAGCATGAAAATCAAGCCGGAGCAGATTTTACGCTGGAGCACAGCTGCATCATATCTGAATATCGAGCCCTCAGTCTAAAAAAAACAAAAACAAAAAGAAACTGGTTCTGGCTTCATAACAGTATTAAGCAGCCAAGGGGTATGAAATTGGGCTGGACATGTAAAAATATGAAATAGTTTGAGGAATACTGAGTTGAAAAGTCTGTACCCTGTGAAAAATAATGAATTTCATGAATCGCCTCCTTTCTTCTCATTTCATTTTCATAAATGCTTAGAGAGCTTTATAAATATTCCTCTTTTCATATTGGTCATACATGAAACAAAGCCAACGACACTGAGCCGCGGAACAAATAAACACAGACTTCAGTGTTCATAGAAATTTACACCAACACGTCTTTTTGTTTGATTTTTTTTTTTTTCCCCAGAACAACAACATCTTACATTACACATGAGGCAAAGCGGCAGCAGGCAGGCTGGATGGGTGCAGACAAATTCGTCCTGCCCCAAGTGTCCATGAGCAAGTCACAGGAGTAAGCACGCTCAGAAAATAAGTAGAGTACTGTCGCTTTAGGGGTACGATGGAATGGAGTGGACCCTTGAACGCTTTCGAGAACACTTCACTGGCTTGGAAAGGGTACCGTGGCAAATATTGTTTGTACCTCTCGGGACAGAAGTGGACTCTTGAGTTTTTGACAGCGTGGACCTGATCTGCGGGAAGGAGAACGGAACGACAAAGTGACTACCGGTACATCCAATGACGCAATGGTGGCTGTCCGTGGGGGCTGGGGCCGCTCGTCGCGGGGCCTGCGGTTAGTGTAATCCGTTGGGTGCGAACGGCGACATCCTGTCGAGACTGACCACGGCCTCGCAGTCCTCCAAGTCACACACGGAGTCGGTGGCGTTGTCGTTGTTGGCGGTGAGCTGCGAGATCCTGTCGAAAGTGTCCTCGCATTCCACCACGTTGGGGATGATGTTGACGTAGGCGTTGGCGATCTCCTTGTGGATTATGGTGTCCTGGTTGTAGGACACCAGCTCGTTGCTGATGTTGACCGTTTCTACGGGCGTGCTGGAGCAGAAGTAGCGGCAGCCCAACAAACTGGCGAAGGCTTTCCTGAACTCGGCGTTGAACGCGTAAACGATGGGGTTCAGGGAGGAGTTAGTCCAGCCGAACCACACGAACACGTCGAAGGTGGTCTCGCTGACGCAAGGCAGGCCCGCGTCCCGGTCTGTGGGCGGCTTGTTGCAGAACGGAACCATGCAGTTGAGGACGAAGAAGGGCAACCAGCAACACACAAAGACGCCCATAATCACCGAGAGGGTTTTGAACACTTTGGTTTCCCGCTTGATGGAGGTCTTTAAAGTGTTGTGGTGGTGGCACTCGAGTCTGTTGGTCCGGCAACTTTGCGCGTGTTCCGCGGCTCTCTCGAGAGAAGCGATCCTCCTGATTTGGATTTGGGCAATCCGGTAGATTCGAGTGTAAGTCACAATCATAATTGCCACCGGGATGTAGAAACTAATCAACGACGAGGAGATGGCGTATTCTCGGCTCAGGCTGGAGTCGCAGTTCTCCTCCGTCGGACGAGCCGCTGAGGCGTTGCTCGTCCCGGCCGCGTCGTCCCCGCTGGCTTTGTGCCAGTTGAGTTGGACCGGTATGAATGAAATGAGCACGGACAGCGTCCAAGTGATGCTAATCATGACGAACGCGACCCTCTGAGTCATTTTCCTCTCGTAGCGAAAGGGACTGGAGATAGCCCAGTATCTGTCCACGCTGATGATGCAAAGGTTGAGGATGGAGGCGGTGGAGCACATAATGTCGAAAGCCACCCAAATGTTGCAGAAAGTGCCAAACGGCCAGTATCCCGCCACCTCCGCCACAGCCTTCCATGGCATCACCAGCACGGCCACGAACAGATCCGACAGAGCCAAGGACACGATAAAGATGTTGGTCACTTTGGTCCTCAAGTGGCGTGAGCGCAGCACCGCCGAGCACACCAAGATGTTCCCCAGCAGGGTCCACAGGATGAGGAGGAACAGCAAACACCCTGTCACGGCTCGCGCAACCACGCCGTCCCTCTCGCTTTTTTCACCCGTCGCCTCCGATTCGGTGCCGTTCCACAGTATCTCCCTGAGCGGCACCGGCGCGGAGTCGGTCCCCTGCACCGACGACACATACTTCGCTGGGTTCTCCATGCGCCGCCGCTTCAAGTGGCGCCGCAGCGCGCAGCCTCAGGCGGAAGGACGGCCGCGTTCATTCCCACCGCGGGCTCTCCGCATCGTGGCGGCTGCGTGCGACGGCGTAGCGCGTTCAAAAGTGAGCGCCGGACGCGCACTGAGCGGCTGGAACTGGGCACGCATAGGCGAGCTCATGTTGCAGCGTCGCCGCACCCGCTGCTCTCACCCGCCCGCCCACCCACTTACTCACTCGCACCGCGCGAGAGGGATTCCCACAATCAGCGCGCGCAATTTACCACTGTCAGGTGCTTCACGCCTCTTTTTGGGCGTCGACGCAATGCGTTAGTGAGAAAAAAGAGCGCGAGGAAGCCTGCGACTTTTCCAGGGCTTCCTCCTAAACGTGTGCTTCGGCTCCTCGGAGGTTGCTCAACAGCACGATGAGAGCTTCGGAGAACTGTCCATGGTGTCCAGTATGACATTGCGCTTGCGTCTGTGCAACAGTTTCATTTAGAATCCACACGGGCGCCTGGCTGGAGGCTGTTTAGTTGGGGGGTGTACGTATAGTCGTTTCTTAGACGGCACTCTCTCACCGTGCGAGTGATATTTTAAATGAATATTTTGAAGAGAGCAGCCGACGATTGTCCTTCAGAAAGGAAAAGCAATTCATATTTGGTGTGGAAATTTTCTTCTGCTCCGTCGGGGCATTTCACTCGTCGACCTGCAATTAGAATACAATTGCGAGACTTAACTTTGTGGTTGTTGCGTTTCACTCGATACGTGCGGGAGTGAGCAATGTTCAACGTGTTTCCTCTCCGATTCCATGTTTTCATTCAGTCCGAGGGAGACGTTACATCCTTCGTCTTGTGGTATGCAAATGACAAGAGTTACGCTTGAAAAAAAAAAAAGTAACCCCATCAAAGCAGCGTTCTGCATTAGAACTCAATGCGGAAAATATCGCAGCCGAGAAGACGCTCTCCAAAATGTTTTGGGAGGAAATGTTTCCATAGGTGACCTTGACGTATAGTTTCATGCAGCTTGGCCGAGGGAGGTGCGAAACTGCGAAACCATGGCCCCCGGGGGCAATCAATTACTTTTGGGACGATAGTTGTTTCTCCAGTAGCGTTCCTCTGCATGTCTCATGAATTCAAATCAATCAAAGCCCACTAATCTATTCTTCCTCAAATGTATCCACATTTTTAATTAAGATAGCGCGGGCATAAAAGGGGTTTGGCCGAGGAAGCAGGACCCGACCGGAGGGTCGTTGATGAAGGGGCATTCATCTGTGCCTGATGGGCACACAGTCGAAATGGCGGGGGGTTGTTGTTTTTTTTTTTGTTTTTTGTTTTTTAGAATATGCTTGAACGGAGTCGAACAAGAGTGCGTGTCACGCTTTTGAGGAACATTCAATAAAGATCGACCAACTGCAAAGAACGGACTCCCACAAGTCAGTCCACAGTCAGTTTCACCGACCCCCCCCCCCCCACACACACACACACACCTTTGTGTGTGAAGTGTTACGCACTGCGTTAGATAAAGGGGTGTGAGGACTGCAACATTTCCGTGGTTTTCCCTTCACACATACACACACACAAAACACTCCATTGAATTGCCTGTGGCTTATTTCCACTTGCGGTGAGTGTCTCGCCCCTCCATCACGTATCACCGTCACCGTGCACACAACCCTGCAAGTGACACGAGTGATGGGATACTGCGGGATCGCAAAAGGTAAATAGTTAATCACAAAAGTAAACAAGAAGAGAATGAAGCAAATACACTTGTCGGGCCGTGATGACACATATCCCTTTACGTCAGTGATTCCCAGCCAGTAATCCGCGGCGTAAGAGCATCAGGTATAAAATGCATTATTTATACACACTCCAAATGTTCTGTACTTTGTTCACAGATCTCGCAAGGACTGGCAGAACAACGAAATGTTCTTCCACGACGTTGAATGAAACTGGGCATTGGGCCCAGATTTCACACCAAAGTCAATTTGTGAGTAAACTGAACGGAGATCGTCATTATTTCGACGTATGTGGGTCATTTCGGGAAATGGAGGACATTTTCTGCCCCCATGACTGGATATTTCAAATAATCCATGCACAAAATACAGAAACATAAACTATAGCTGTCCTGAAACAAACTGTAACCGTGCAGCTGCAGTAAAAGTAATCCCTATAGTTTCAAATACCAAATGACTCTTGAGCACTCATGCACTATTTTTTTTTGGGGGGGGGGGGTGTCTTGTCCCTACCTCCTCATTACCAACTCATAGTCAATCAGATTTCTTTTGCTTTTCTTTTCCGCCTTCCCTGTAATTATTAAAATAATTCATTTTACCACAGATAAAAAAATCATTAAAAACACACCCAAAGAATATTAAATAAATCTGTTTTCACCCCCCAAAAAAACACTAAATTTGGATTGCCCTGCGCACTTTTCGCCATTTTTTTGTTTTGTTTCGTGACGTGGTGTGACACTTTTTTTTTTTTACTCCTAATGTAATGTACTTCTGCGATTGGCTGACAGCCAGTTCAGGGTGCCCGAAGACAGCTGGCATAGGCTCCAGCACGCCCTCGACCCTCTGAGGATCAACGGATTAGAAAATAGATGAATGAATGGATGGATGTCAAGTATTTTGTATGTGCCTTGGCACAAAAAAACAACACGATGAGACTTATCGAGAGAACTGTCCATGGTGTTGAATTTGACATTGCGTTTATTTTTGTGCCACATAGTACACCTCACATCTATGAAAATACAAAAGTAAGTTTCGTTGTAATACCCAGATGGAGGTCAAACAGGCAAAGCTCTTTTTTTTTTTTTTTTTTGCTGACGCCATACCTGCAGGTGAGTCACACTCTCACTCCCAGTGGACATGCAATGATGTCCTGCGTCGTATAGACCAAGGCAGCCGCTAACTTTGCATCTTGTCCACGTCACTGCTATTTTTAGACCCATCTGCGTGCCTGTCAGATCGGTCTGACACTACGTCAAAATAATCCCCCCCCCCGCACACCCAATTCCAAATTCTCTGGAGTAGCCTAATCTCCGATGCACATCTGCAACACACTTTCGCAAACGTGTTCCAACGTAAACAAAGAGGTGAATGACAGAGATTGTGAATGGAACTCGGAAGTCACAGTATGGTAAATTACGTCGCCTGAAACGTCAGAACCTGCTGTTTTTTTTGTTTTTTTTTTTGTTCTCGATTAGAGGAACATTACCATTTCAACGAGTGATTCCACTTTTTAATTGCATAAACGTTTGCATTCCTGTACGGATGACCAATATGGTTGCATTTTGGGAAGAGGGGAAAAAAGGCACTGTAGATAAACCTTTACAGAGGTATTTTGGCTCCATCGTGTTCTGATTCCATTTGCCCGCCGTTGCATGCAGCCCTCCGCACTATTCAGCTGGACGAATTGAAGGCGAACGCTTCCCGATCGTGAATAAGTGGCGACCTCGTGTGGTGGTTTTCTTTACTACACAGTTACGGGGAGAAACAATTCTGTGAGTTCGAGTCGACCGACACAAACAGATTCAAGAACCCTCGTATGAACAAAAACTATTTATTTTGTCACTACCGTACAAACAATTTCCTTTGAGCACCAGTTCGAGTGATTTTTTTTTTTTTTGGTTCACAAAAATCCTGTCGAAATGATGATTTTGATCCTAAGTATATACAAAGATGACATACAAGCAATAGTTTCATTGGAAAACAAAAAGATTTTTACCTTGGCACTTACTGAGATGATGGTGGTTAGCACCTGAGTGAAAACTTTTACTGGACATTCATTAATCTACTATATACATCGCAAAGGTGTGTTACCCCACCAATTCCTACCTAAGTATCCTTAAGCAAGGCACTGAACCCCGCAACGGAGTGTCAACCGGTTTCCTCCTGTTAAGAACGTGAATTCCAAATTTTCATTTGGTTATGGAGGAGTATGAGACATTGCAGCCCCAATACACTGGGATGCAAATTACAGCTCTCCACTCGAGCCAAACAAAACAGTGATATGCCAGAACATGTTGAAAAATGATTGTTCAAACAAAAATGCTATCTCAGCTGAGAGGGTGCTCTCAATGATTTTGTTGGAAATTTTGCAGAGGGTTTGGTTTCTTTCACAGTGTGTCTCTTTCATTAAAAACATAACGCCCCCTCCAGCCCCCCCAAAAAATGTAATTTGATTGTCTAATAAAAGAGCAAATTCTTACCAACTGAAAATAAATAAAGAAACAGCAAGTGGGAAGTATATTTGGACATGGTACAAAAAAAAATTCAGGGGAGAGAAAACAAGAAAATGTGTGTTTTGGTTGGAATTTCAATAAATATTTTAGATTTCAACATTAAAGCATTTTATTTGCCTAGGAGACGTAGTTACTCAGATACTGTATTCATATTTCAAATGATATCAAACAATTTGGAACACCCTGCATTTGGTACCAAACTGAGATTTGAGATTTGCCCCACAAAACGAGATGGAACGTCCACTGTGAGAAATGAGAACATTATCCATACATAATATGCAGATTTCAAATGCATATCAACTATGGGTCCAAGTGTGCGTATTTGCACATTCATGTATAAAAGAGTGCTATTAGAGCATTTTTGGGGTATGTTAAGGCGATACAATCTGCTGCACACAATATGTGTCACATTCAACAGGATTGAGTCAAAAACCTACTGAACTGTAACAACAGAAACAAAACGTGAGCCCTCCTGGAATTTCTTTAAAAGTATTTAAAAACTGCACAAGTATGCGAAGTAACCGTTGTCACGGCTTTCTTTCTTTCAAGTCTGGTGAATGTGTGAGCCACGCTGGTAAACGCTCTCAGTAGCCAATATTGTTACGCATTGTCTGACCTCGGCTTCTCCGTCAGACGCGGCGGAAGACCTCAAACAGAGAAGCGACCGAGTGCATGCGGTAGAAAAGGTTTAAAGGAACCGCAAAATTGAGAGTTGTAGTCCAAATGCTGAAACCGAAGGCCTCCTGTTCCAGCCCATTTTCATACTGTGGTCGACAGCCAAAGGCGGGGAGGATCCACAGCTGAAAGAAAAAAAAAAAGAGAGACATTTCTTTAGTAGCATTTTCATACAAAGCCTATGTTACATCCCCACATTTTCAAAACTGATTGTCCTTGTGTAAGTCCTAAAAACAGTGAAAACAAAACGTCGACTCTGGTCGAAATAGAATAGAACAGAGATTAAAAAAGCCACTTTTTTTTTTTTTTTTTTTTAGTTCAAGGGATAGTTTAAAGGAAAAGGACGGCATATCTATAGTTCACCAATGAGCCGGAAGACAAAGAAACCCTTTCATTGAGATGCAGCTCAACACAGGGAAGCTGATATCTCGGCTCTGTCAGATAACATCAGAGTTCGCCATAAGCGTGCCGACTCATTTATTCTTCTTGAGCTTCATTCACTTTGTAGTGTAAAAACGTCAGTTCACAGTTCATGTCGACGATAAGCACGCTTCCTGTGGAGATATTTGTGACTTCGTGGCAGTGCCGGCTGGTTGCTCTCATCCATTTTTTTTTTTTTTTTTGGCCAATTCACTGATTTGCTGCAATTCTCACCTACTGTATTTGCTGGTGTGTACTCAGGCCAAAGCAATCAAAGTGGGGAGAGAGAGAGAGAGAGAGAGAGAGAGAGAGACAGACAGACAGACAGACAGACAGACAGACAGACAGACAGATAGAGATGTGTATATACTGTATATTATCCATCATAAAGAAAATATTTGACGGGTCCAAGTGACACTGAAACAGGTTTTGAGGTGCTTACCGAGATGTTGCACATAATCAAGAAGACGGCGATATTCTTCAGGATTCGCCTCTTGATATTTGGCGCATGGGCCACTTGACCTCCGAAAGGCTTTGGCACCTCGGCTAATTTGTACACCTGTCCGCTCTCTTCCTGCTCGTTCTCGATGGCGACACAAGCCCTGTTGGGTGCGTCGTAGGCTCGGTTGAAGATGCCGTTGTAAGGCGGGGCCAAGGAGGAAGTCACCGAGAAGATTTCAGGTGACGCCACTAATTCGGGGTCAACCCGCCCGGCGTCGTCCTGCCGGCGGTAGAGGGATTCCACGATGAAGAGGTTCTGGATGCACTTCTCTAACACAACGAGCAGGGAATAGATCAAGTTGGTCCAACGATACGGGGGACTGCTGCTGGCTCCCACCACGGCCACGATGCTGCACCAGGACATGAACCAGGAGCCGATAGACGATCCGAAGAGCAGCTCTGTGTCCAGCTGCCTTGAGGGGTTCTTGGAGCTGTCTGGCGCCATGTGATCCGCTCGGTATATGAGCAAACCCGAAGCGCAGGCGGAGCACATCAACGCCAGCATGACGATGCCGTAGATGTAGAACATGGAAATGGCCGAGCGCCGCGTTTGAACGGAACCCTCCATGTGCGTGACGTAGACCACCAAAATCCCGATGGTACTGGCGAGGGCAACCAGTCCCAGAATGGGCCCCAGGGTCAAACCTTGGGTTTTCGTCGCTAGCCGTTTCCGATTGGAAGAAAGGTCGATGGTCCTTCCGATGTTCTTCCACATGACAAAGAGCATGGCGGAGACGAAGATGTGGTATTCGATGTTGAAGGGGTAGAGATAGTAGAGGCTGCTGGAGAACATGGAGCAAGTGCTGGTGCTGCAGTTGCATTGAGGCTCGGTGTGAACTGAAAGGTCAAGCGCATACAAAATGGTTTCAGGAAGCCATAAAATACGCCCGGCGATGAACCCAACCGGCTTCGCTAATGCGCTCGTTAAAAACGGGCTCCGCTGGGATCCAGTACAAAAAGTAATGCAACAGACAAATTTCATATTTTTTGTTCCCTTTACAAAATATTGACCGATATTAAGTGCTGAAAATGACTTGCTCTCTTTGCAAATGTCATGTTGATGGTTGAACCAAAGAGTCCGTTTTATTTTTTGGGGTCCTGCAGAAATGTGATGATTTTGGAGGCGCGAGCGCCAAATGAGAGTGCGAGTGCAGCAGTATATTTTTTTCAGAGAACTATTCGATTTAAATATCATTTCAAAGCACTAAGGCATGCTGCGGGAGTTGCTGGGTAACATGTCACCGCTTCACTTTTTTGTTGAATTTCATTCTTACAAAAAAAAAAAAAAAAGAACTGTGTGTTGATGTTAGCATAATATTACAACCTGAACAGAGCCAGAAATGATGACATTGATTTCCATATTTCTTCATTCAAATATGATTTAAGCCACTCATGTGGATGAGACCGGGGCGGGAAATTGCGTTTGATCCTAAAATCAGGAGAGGTTTTTAATGACATAAAAGTACCCAAAATTGCCCCTTTGACAGGCCGTGGCTACTCCTGCTCCCACTATTTGCCCCTCCCAACCTTGAAATTACCTTTACTCTACCTGAACTTTAACACTAGTCTGTACCTCCGCCCTCTTCAGATCCTCTTCACAAACTCAGCCATGTGTCCCCCACGTACCTCAAACCCCCTAAACCCCCTCAGGGTCACCACAACAGCCGTGCACACTTTAATTAAAAAAGGAACACCAGTCAGGGTGCAGCCAGGCTGACAGTCAGCCGGATATGAGGAGGAGGACCTGAACCCCGCAGCCCTCGGCTTAGATGTATCAGTTACTGTAATTGCAGCGCCCTTGGGAGTAAGCAGCCTGGGAGAAAGCCGTGTGAGGTCAAGCGGGTGGGTTGCCGAGGAGGGCGGCGTTGGCCGGAGCGTGTAGAAAAGCACTAGCAACGCGGTGTGTCTCTTGAAACCTAATCAAGAGACTTTGGACACGAACAAGTCCCGCACGGGCTGGCGAGCTCACCTGCCTTCCCTTCGCTAACCTCGCTCACCCTTCCCCCCCACCTTGCTTTTTTTTTTTCTGACGTCCATTGAGGCGCATTCTCAATCGAACTATTGTCCTGTTCATCTGCGTGCTTACCTATAGTGAGGTTTCCGTAGCCCAGAGCGGAAAGCCGTCTCTTATGGTTGTTCAAGAAGTGCTCGGCCTCTGACATCACACCATTGGACCAGAGGAGGAGGTTGGTAAAGACGGCATGGATGACGCCAAATCTGAGGAGGCAAAGTGTTGAAAACAAGTGCGCGCGTTAGACAATGTGATCATTTTTACCCCAGCCCAGCGACGACACTTACCTCTCTAACGTTTCAAAACTCTTGATGACATCCTTGATGTGAAACCAGAGAAAGTGCACCTGATCAGAGCAACAAAGCCATCTCAGAAGAAATAAAGCCGGACAAAATACTGTCAAGACTACCCGTGTCATTTTTAGCGCACTTGCACACGGACCGACCTGAACGACAAAGCAGGCATGATGATGAGGCCTATTTGGCTAAGTGCACACCGGGAAACGCTGTTCGAGGTTTAGAAAGTGTCTTTCCAACTTACCTGTGCTATGGTGTGACTTGCATGGATGACAGGATACACCCCGAGAACGGCCGACACGCAAGATTGATATCCGACATAATAGCCGATTCGGAACACGTCCATAATCATTGACAGGAGCGCGAGAAGAGTCAAACCGCCTACGGGGAAATCAGAAATGAAGGTTGCGTCTCGTGCATCTGCAGTCAGCACATATACATCCAGATGTTCAAAAATACGACACATAATTTCATATCACACATACAGAGTGATAGTAGAACTCGTAATAAATGAAAACAAAAATGATGACAGAGCAGTATTTTACCATCACAGTTGGCGGCTCAATAAAAATGTTTTGTGTGTTACATGTGAAGTAAACAGTGAACTGTTGATTGAGAAAACTGAACGGTATTAAAACGTCATCATATACTCAAACGATGGGAAAAAAAATACATGGATAGCCATCGGAAGTACGGATTTAACAATGTGTAGTTTTTTTTTACAGTGGTGAGGAATTGCACTGCATCCTATCAAGAGACGTTTCTAATATGTGTCTAGATCTCCGCGATTAATGTTCCTCCATGTCGCTGCAGTCACCCATATAACTCTCCAAGATCTTAATTAATCGAGACGTTCGCCCCATGTGACTTTTGTTTTCTCTATTTACACCTTTTTTTATGTTGTCATCCGAGAACGTTGAAAAAAAGTAACCAGCCAATTTTGACAAAGGAGTGGTGATGTTTTTTTCAATGCATGGAGTAAAAGAAGATCCTTGAGTAGATGACAGATACCTGTCCGGGACTGGCTGTGGACAGTCCTTTCAGTCAGGTATCCAGTGTAGGCATATCCTGTTGCAAAACTTACCTCTGATCCAGCATGTGGTGGCATGGACGTCCTTCTCAGTGCGCGCATTCTTGTGTCTGCTCCGCACCAGCATGTACCACAGCATCCAGATGAGCTGGAGGATCATGAGGCAGGTGAGGAAGGACAACAAGTGGTCTTCCTTGACCGATGGGCTGTGGTAGGCCAGGGCGAGCATGAGCGCCGCTCCAATCAGCAGCACGTTGGTCCCGTATTGTCCACTCAGGATCGCCGCGTTCTTCCTCGGGTAATCTTCGGCCAAGTTCAGCTTCAGCTTGGTCCAAATCTTTTTGTCGTTCTCCGAGCTGGACGACGATGAAGAGCTGTTGCAGTATTTGTTTAGATACGTGACATCCAAGCTGTTGTGTTCCACCATGGTGGGAGACATGGCTCTCTAGAGTGTGGGAGAAATGGGGAGAGTCGAAGCAGCGTGTTGGAGGTGCGTCCGAGGGGCTACCAGGTGCGGTCTTGAAATGTAACGTAGTACAAAATCTTTTGTTACGATACGAAAGTAGAATGTTGACTTTTCATGGATGGATGGATATATTTTACTTTCTTATTTATGTCAATTTTCACTTTTACTCCAGAACATTTCTTAAGTAAAATGCATCCTTTTACTTTGATACAATCTTCATTATTTGTTACTACAAAATAAAATCCGGGGAAATTGTTCTATTAACTAATGCCTGATTAAGTAATGCCTTAACCGCCTGTAATAATCCGACCTGCCCAGAGCGAGACATACATTACAAAGTCATGGAATTTAAGAGGGAAGCACCGAGTGCCTCCCCTTCTGCTCACACATTTCCAGCAGCAGATGTTGACCACGATAACCACATTTATTTTGAACTTGTTTAGGGCATAAATGGTTACAATGAAGGCTAGGCTAATGTGCGATAGCTAACTTCGCTCATTAACCGACAGCAGATATTTAACTATAGCACTGAAATAAGCTAAATAAATAAAATTTGAATTAAAATAAATAAAAACAATCAAAATTCTAACGGCTACATTAAAAAAAAACGTTTATACCCACTTCCCATATATAATTATATTTAACGTCAGAAATGTACTTTGAGAAGCTAACAGTGCAACAAATGTCAGCTATTAATATTTTTACTTGAGTAAAATTCTACAAGGTGACCTTTACTTTGACCAGCGTTACTTTCTATTACGACGCGAGTATTTTTACTCAGGCATCGCTTTCGGGTGCTTTACTGACAGTCCCGCTCCAAAAAATTCAGCGGCCATTTCCAATTGCCATCAATACTCAAGTCATCTTACAAAAGCCAAGTATCTCCTCGCGTGCAACTGTCACCCCCTCTGACCCCTCCAACTGGAATATTGTCTTGTCGAACCCCGATCACAAACACGTAATTATCCACGATGGAAAAGTTCGAGTGATGTCCACATCCAGCTATTCATTGCATCTGTCCACTCCGAATGTGCCGCACTCTTCCTATATGACGATCAGGTGTTAGACGGAGCCATTGTAACGAGGTGAAGAGTTCCAAACGCTCTTCGAAATGCTGAGACGTCGTTCAGCTCCGGTTGCACACGAGTTTGTGTCGGTCATGCTGGTAGATCGCAAGGCCTTCAGGATGGGGGGCGGGGGGCTGGCGGACTAAGGATCAAGTGGACCCATTCAAAGTAGACATGTGAGGAGTGGATGTCCGAGGGGAAAAGGTATTTGACTTCGGCGAGGGTCGGGGTTCCAATTTGCCTTACAAAAGGGGGATGTAGTTGAGAAGTGATTAGCGGGGCGTACTTGGGTGGGATTCATAAAATCCCTTTAAATCAATCATAGTACTGCGTTGACATGTTTCTCATCGTTTGTTTCGTTTCCTTTGAATCTGGGACATCTTATTTTGAAATTATTTAGCTTGGTGAACACTGTCGGGGTTCTCTGCTGGATATATGCGTCCTTCAATGGAGCAAATCAATGACACAATTTGGACTTGAAGTGAAGAAACGTTCTGTTGCCCACGGAGAAAACAAATGTTTTAAATTCAAGAAGTGGAAGGTCCAGGGGTCATCACCAGAGTCCTTTTACTGGGGCAAGTTCCCCAGTATTAATCAACTGTATCAGGTGCTTGCATGCAGGCTGGCCATCGGGAGTGCCAAGCATTTTCCTGGTAGGGTGAGGGTTGGTCACGCTTAGCTCTTGTCACACTACTGGTGTTTGCTGTTCCATAATTTGTTCACACTGATAAATTGACTTTGCCAATTTCTTACCTTAGGCACCCGCCAATCTCTCAGCAATGAACAATGGCAGCGACCACACTCATGATCTTATTTCCAAGAACAGCATACCCAGGTGAGTCAATGATTGATTGCATAATCATTAACAATTGTCGCCCTCGAGGGGGGGGAGAACAGACTACAGAAGATTATTGTCGGAGAACTTTAACAAGCCCCTGATTATGTCTGAACATGTTGATGCCATTTTCAGTTGATTAGATTAGCTTGTTTGTATTCAAGATTTGAAGTCATCTCACATTGTTTAATACATGAGGTGGCATAAGCGCAGCGGCTGATGAATTAAACGGTCATGTGCATGTCACATCACAGCTACGACAATAATGTTAACTGTATTTTGAGTGAATTGTAAAAAGCTAAATGGCTGACACTAGATACAGACAGGGTACATTGATGTGGTATTAATTCAGTTGGCAAATATTAAAAGTAGTACACGTTTATTAAAGGAACAAATATACACTTAGTGAAGCATGAACATTGTTAAACACACAAACTGCGTGCCTTTAAATCATTGTGCTGCTGCTCAGTCATATCTTCAAACATTTTGGTGCTCGTCTGTTCAATACGTATATTCTACATTAATAAAAAAAAAGTAGTCTTCAAATCATTGTGGTCATGTGGAATGGAAATGAACAATGACTGGATTCCATCAAGCTGCTTTGGCTGAATGTTCCAGTAGTCCTTCATCCTTTCTTCACCGAAGAAACAGCTGTCGGGTGTTTAGATAAATTTACTTAAGGGTATGGAGTACAAAACAATGAGAAGTGAGTGGGGGGGCGGGGGGGCTTAATTTCTGAGAGAACTGTAGTTTTGTGAGATGAGATGTCAAACAAAGTAAAGATGCGAAATCTGAACACGAAATGGCTTCGAAAACATCAGCAACAGAAACGTAACTGGTTTGTCATTGTGGTTCGAAACAAATAATTATTACCTGTCACACTCATCCAAGCATAGAAATCAGCATGACCACACCCATGAACTGCGTGAAGAGGATGAGCGGAGTGACGAAGGACCAAACCGGCCATAGAGCAATGTTCAAACTGCAAGGGAATGTTAAACGTATCACAGCTTAGAAGAAAAATCACAATTTATTTGGCTGGCTTCTTTGAGACTGAATTTTGAGACTGGGCGCTTGCTGGTGACTGCTTAGTATTGGACACAACTTTTTTATCATTTGCTTCAAGACAAGAGTACACAAAGCAAGATGGTGGCTTGATCAACAAAATTCCATACAGTCAAAACAATAATTAAAAACCTAATCAATTGAACATTCCCATTCTTTGTAAACCTCTCGATTCCAAATATTCAACATAATCAGAAAAATCGAGTCATGAAACGCACAGACACACATTCCATGCAACTGTTTTGACGGATGTACCTGCACGATGCCGCAATAAACGCAGCGGTGGTGATGGGAGGGATTGCAGGGTACTCTTGGTCATAGTGCACGATTCCTCGAAACCACTCCAGGTACACGATACAAAACGTGGCCAGACACAGGCAAATTCCAAGGAGCAGCAGGCTCACATTAAACCACCAACTGAAAACACCATTTAACATCAACAAGCAGTCCACATCAGACTTCTACATAGCCTTCGGTGGCCTTTTTTGCTGTGACCTTTTTAACGTCTTACTCAGTATTCATTCACCTCTTAATGTTATCATTCACAATGATGTTTTGAAAGAAATCCACATAGTAAGTGACACTTATAGCTGCCACAACCCAGAAAACGGAGTGCTTGTTGATTGGAGGGAGAGGTCTGACATCTTTTTCTCCTGGACCTGAAATGCAAAAAGAACATAAAAAAAGTGTAGAGGTCAACTTAAAAACAATGATTTTGAATATCTTCACTTGCGGTGATGAATAGGTTTTAGTATACTGTATTCAATAAAATAAATGTAAAAGTGGCATAGTGGCATCGTTTAATATTTCTGTATATGGCCCTAGAAATAAAACGTTTGGGCACCCCCAAGTCTTCACTAAGAAATGGCCACTGAATGGAAAAGGGATGCCTTGGGCACGGTGAGGAGTTAACCGGATTTGCTCAGTCAAAACAATCAAGAATTCATGGATTTCAGCCAGTGACGGTCTCAAAGGCGATATTGTTCACTGGTAGAACAACGCATTCAACTCTGGCAATTTATTTGGCTTTGTGAGACGTCTGCCTGTCATGTGAAACAATTGGTTAAAGAAAAAAAACGTATTTAAAGGTACGATAAACAATGCCTCGTGTGTGAAATGACCCCCACTGTCTTTTACTACTTAAAATAAGACTACTTCGATAATGATCACATTTTAGCCACCAATAAATACGCACCGACTAACTCTAGCAAAACAAAACACAGTTAGCTGTGAAGACAAAAAAAAAACGAGACAGTACACGTAGCGACAATCTTAACCTTAAATTAAATGCTTGCACTTACACTCCTTGTCTTCGTCGGGTAACGAAGCTTTCGCCTGCATGAGTAACTCAGCATTTTTTTGGAATCTGTTTCTCAGCGTTGCGAATTCACTGTCATTCAGCATCATGAAAAGCTATCTTTCAAAACGGACGACGGCCTGACTTCCCGAAGTTGGCGTCGCGTTGAATGACGTCACCTAACGCGACAATTGTAGTTTTTAGCGATACCGTATACCGTTTCGAGAGCGAGCCGACCAAATGTTAGCCAGCAATAATTTTGATGACTTTAGATATGTCAAAATATTTATACAGTGAACTCTTTCAAAAATGCATCGTCTACCATCAATCAGCGTTGCAAAAAGGGTATTCCTGCACTGTACTTTGTATAACACCACGAATACTGAATGAAAATTGTTCTGTGTTGCTGCGATTAATCTGTAAATTGTTGGATGTTGTTCTCGTCAACGTTCAAATTGCCCAACGTTGGTGGAAATTATGCATTTTTCTTATTTAGACATGGTTGTGGAAATCTCCAAGTACCCTTTTAATTGCACACTAGCATTGGTACCTACATATTGGCTGTATATTACAGTTAATTTACAAAATCCTGCACGTTAAATAACAGAAATCTGGACTTTAGGGCTGACTCATGGAAAAACATCCATTTGCAGCCAAACCAAAAACTTCAACGGCAGCAACAATATTTTTTAAATGTTTTCTTGATTATCCGGTACAGATCGGACTGAATTGGAAGCATAAAGTAATACTGTACCCACGTTCCACTGCAGGACAGAAAATACAACTTTAATACTGGTAAAGTTGACAGCTCCACTGATACCCTAAGTAGGCAATATACAATTTCAGATAAGCAGAACAATGAATGAGCGTCAGTGTTAGGCCTACTGGGATTAGCAAAGCTTCATAAAGCATATTTCCTGCTGTAGCTACCTGTGTGTGTTTCTGGGAGAGTGTGTGCATGCAAGTGTGAAGGCTGCTCATTCTCGCAGTGGAAAATCAGACCGCCTCAAAAATTCACCTTCGGCTTCCACCATCTTCTATGGAGCTTCTGTGTCGCTGGCCAAGTGAAGCTCGTGGCGGATGCCGAGGAATGTGCATTAACTTTGTCCTGTGCGAGAGTCAAATTTACCTCAGGTGCACCTCTCTCATTTCCCTTCCCCCACAGCAACATCCAATCCCACAGATAAGGTGCCATTTCCCAGCCGTGGAATGTTGAGCAAAGCAGTCAACTCGCACATTTGTCATTTTCCGCGTGAATGACATGCTTGACAATGTGTCGACAGTGGCATTGGGAATCAGTACAGAACGACTGAAAATGACAAATGGTTTTATTATCAAGATTTTTTCTATATGAAAAACAGAACAGTGAATAATGGCAATAATTTGAAACTACCATGCTGATCGACGTGGACTGAGTTTGATTAATTTACTGTACAAGTCTAACTCTGTCCTTCAAAACTCTAAACTTGGGATTGTGATTGATCTTCTGATTGAAAAGTGCAAAGACCTCCTCCTTTGTCTTGAAATTCGCATCACCAGTAGCGGAGAAGTAGGCAGCCAAAACCTGCAGAGGGGAATCCATTCTTTCATTTTATGCCAAATAGGTAGCTTTCTCAAAGCATGATCAGAAAGAAAATGTGGTCAGAGCGAAAATAAGACCAAGATCAACAGCTTACCTTCTTTCTGAGTTTCTTCACGGGCAATTCCTGGTCAGGTGAAGTTCTCAACACTGCTTTGATAGTTTCTTTCCATTTGAAATTGCCTATAATGTGTTCAAAAAGACTCGTCAGCTACGGAAGCACGATGACTGAACAGTCAACCAGAACAAATAGCACTGCCTCCAGGGATTTATTATTTAAAATAATGTGTGCAGTTACTTTTCTTGCATGTTTTTTTTTGGGGGGGGGTGGCAGCGTAAAATCTGACTGAATAGTTAACATTTGACCATTTCTGGACTTCGCTTCTTGTCAAGAATTTAACTTTTAGCGCAAGAAAAAAAAAAAGAAAAAATGTGTGCAGCGCGTGAAAAAAATAATGATGATTGAGCAATTTAGGTGGATAAAATTCTAAATATTGACTAATACAGATTAAATAAGAACATATTGATGTCATCATATCTATTAAATGTCACATTTATTCAGGTTAAGAGTTCCGTACTTAGGGTGGCGACGCAAGCCTAAGTAGGAACGTATGCTAGTAATCATAACTACGGTAAATGTTCATCTAAAAAAAAAAAAAAAAAAAACACTCTCCTTCATAAATATGAAAAAAATGACGCAGTAAGTTAAGCGGTAAACAAGTATGCCTTGTTGTGCCTTGTTGTGCCGTGTCAAGACGTATTTTGGCGCTGCTGCTAAACTAGTGACATTCCTAACCTTGAAATGTCATATGGTGAGGCGCAGTTCGAGCAGCATTTGTAACAGTTGAAAAGCGTTGACAGTCAAGGCGCAAACAAAAAAACAATGTTATTTGGCATTAGGCCTTCAATTATGTCGCATGCGAACATCAGCTTTGGACGATCATACCTCTGGCAACTGCGAGATCCTCACTTTGCTCGGATACACCAGCCTCTGATATTTGGTCCGCTGGGAGAAATCAGATAAGAGCTCTCATGATTCATTCATAAATGTGCAGTTTCTGTACATTTGAGTATTTTGCTTCTCGTGGTAGTTGTCCACATATGGTACATTACATGTACAAACCCAAGTCCAAAGGAATTGGGACGTTTCTCAGTTTGAACATGAAATACCTTTGTTGTGCATTGAGTTAAGTACTGTATAGATTGAAAATGATTTGCAAGTCATCGTAGTCCTAACTTCAGTGGAATTGGGTTTGTACATTGGACTTGTGTGGACCTTTAGGTTATGACTTACTTTTCATCTTCTTTTTGGATGTTTGCTCAAAAGCACCATTTTGGTCTTCATTCTCATCTTCTTCGCAAACCCGCAACCTCTTTCTGTCCTTTTTTTTCTTTTTGGCTAGCTTCTCTTCCTCGACGACTGCCATTTCCGTCTTTTTTGATTTTCTTTCAATTTTCCCATTTGTCTGCTGGTGGGCTTCTTTGCGCTCTTTCTGTTTATGCTTCTTCTTTGTGTCCGTGTGGCCATTCTGCATTTCTTTAGTAGTACTATCCACTTCAACTTCAGCCGACGTCTCTTTCACTTCTTTTTTTCCCTGGGGTACAGCAGAGGGCTGTCAGATTATGAAAAAGTAATTATTATTAATAAAACAATACCTTCAAGACAACTTGCAAACTGTGCTTCAGTGTAAGAAATATAATGGGCATTATAACACGTCTCGGGGAGAAAAACATTAGCAAGCTGTGTTAACAGAGAACATATCAGGGTTGTAGAGAAATAAAACATTTACTGTCACTTACAATGTCTGAATTGAGGATGCTCCACACATCTTCATGCAGTCTTGAGTTGGTAATCCTCAGACTGTTTCCCATCCAATTCTAATAGAAGGTACAGCCAAGCCCCCGACAATTAGAAGGCATATTTACCCACATGGTCATTCAATTCATAAATTTATCACAATTACCCACCTCAAATTTGGCCTTTTTTCTTGGGACATTGTCATATGCACTGACTTGCTTGAGCACAGCTTTTAGCTGTGCGCTTACTCCAGGTTTGTTCATGGCTTTGTGGATTTTCTTCAGCAATAAAGTGATCATATTTTGAGTACCTCAAATGACACAAGTTAACGATCAAGTTGAGACGCTGACTTTTACCTCGAGCCATTGTTGCTGTTTCAAATCCCCTTTGACCGCTTTCGCCTCATAGCCTTTACCCCCATACTTCTGGTCTTCGCTGATGCATTTGATGTGATTTTTGTAGTCGTCGCCCCTTTAAAGCACAAGACCATTTTTATAAGGCTGCGGGAGTTTTGAAAAGTCACAGGAAAAGGGGAGATCAAAGTTTACCAGAAATCTTTTCCACAGTCGATGCAAGAGAGAACCTGGCAGCCCCGGCACATGACCACGTGTTTATCCACCTGATTTTTTTTCAGGGATTCGCCACAAGCGTTGCATGTGAAGAACACCATGCTGAAAGACTCCTCTGTCCAAGTAAAAGTGGATTAAGTGGCGAGTGCAATATCGCTCTCTGCCCAGCCGACGTCTTGTAATCTCAGCAATGGAAAAACACTAAAACTCCGAAAGCCGGGGCTTCTCTCCGCAGTACAGGTAGGAGCAGATATCTAGGCGAAACCGATCGCTAACGTTACTAAAAATGAATGTTGTCATCGATCAGATTAAAATAACAACAACACTAAAACAACTCATGGTTACATTAGCGCGACCTTAAATTAGATCCGGTTCTAAAACGTGTTAAAAACAACAATGCCCCCTCCCTGTTCCACCAATGTAGTCCTTTTCAAAACACACGTTATCACGCTAGAAATTACAATTGCGCCGATCTTATTCTTCCGACAGTGTACACGCAATACAAAACAGGAGTTCCGACAGCACGAAGCTGAATTTCTGTTTGACTCTGAGCCGCCGGTGTATCTGTTGTGGTTATCTCAATAACACACACATCTGGGGGTATTATAATGTATAGAATTTATTGAATTCTACCGAAATGACGAACGTTATCCTTATCAAGAAGCGCAAAATGCAAACTGTTCCAGGGAGTGAGGCAACGGCGGTGGCGAGGTGACCTGTCGTCCGAAGAATCCAGTAAACGTACGGTAATCTTGGTCCGAGTACAGCAAGAGCATCACGCTTTAAATTAGCTTTTAATTCCTGCCAGATAAAATCACAAGTGTGTCAATTAGCCCTTACAATTCGCAGGTTTGTGAGCAAAGCTTCGTAGTTGGCACGTTAGCTATAGCTGTCGATGTATTCATGCGTAGGATGCAAGTCCGACTTTAAACCAAGCGCCGCTGTTTTATGTTAGATGTCAGCGCCCCGCAACACGCCAATGCAGCGAGGTTGCATTTTAATAGCATGAATCATAAACTACAGTATTTCCTGTCACTGACTTAATGTCTGTTCTCCCTTTCACTAGCTCTGTGACTGAGTGCTTGGACGGATGAGTGAGCATGGACACACTATCCAGCCACAGCTCCTACTTGCTGCAGCAGCTCCAGGAGCAGAGGATTCAGGGAATGCTCTGTGACTGCATGTTAGTGGTTAAAGGGGTCTGCTTCAAAGCCCACAAAAATGTACTGGCTGCTTTCAGCTCTTATTTCAGGTATGTTATATTAATTGCTTTATTGACAGAGGTATCAGCAAGTTATTTGTGCGTCGAATTGGTCGTGCCAAAGAGTGGCTAGTATACGGTTGTGCCTTGCTGTATCGCAGTTCACTTTTTCACGGCTGCATGGATTATTTATTTATTTTTTAATCACACTTCCATTGATTATTATTTGCTCTATTGTGGTGATTTTTACATACAAACAGTTGAAGTGCACATTTTCTAAAATCCTTTGCCTCTTTGAACTCTCCAGATCTTTATTCCAGAATTCCCCCAGTCAGAAAAATGAAGTGTTCAACTTGGTTATCCAGGATGTCAGTGGCATTGGCCAAATATTAGACTACATGTACACCTCCCGTCTTGACATCAACCAAGATAATGTGCAAGCACTCCTTGACATCGCTCAATGTTTGCAAGTTCCGAACGTCCAAAGCATGTGTAACACTTTCCTTAAGCCTTGCCCCCCCGTGGTGGAAATCCCATCGTTTTCTCTCCCAGGCATGCTGACTTCGGAGCACGACTGCCTCCTGGGAAGCAGTCTGCCTAGTGATGTTGACCTCCCCTGTCCCGCTGAAGTACCCAGACCTGGCTTCATGGAGCAAACCAAACGAATGTCTTTCTCTGTGCCTAACAGCAGCTCAAGTGACTCAGGGAGCAGCACCCAGGCACCTGTTGAAAAGCAGTTAGTCCACGGTTACAAGCTCCGTAATTTCTACAGCAAGCAGTACTTCAAGCAAAGTGCAATTCAGGCCTCAAATCAGGGTCCGGGTCCTTCAGTTGTCGTGGAGGAGTCCCAGTGTCAGCTTGGGATCAGTCAGGGACGCAGCCACTCGCCTTTATGCTCAGGAAACGCAGTTCAGCCCACCACAACTTGCACATCCTTGGCAGCTGACAAGAACACCGTGTCTGCACTGACACCTTCGGATAGTTTAAACACCCCAAGCTCTGACCATGCAGACGCCTTGCTCAGTCTGCCGGTGCGTCCAAAGAAGACAGTGTACCTCAAGAAATACAACTATCTACGTTCTCAAAAGGCGTTAGAAGAAATGTTTGCGAAATCAGTCAGCGAGCCCATCCTGAACTGCCCCAAAGACACGCACTCAGAAGATTCTGTGGTCCGGATTGGGGCTCAAGGATCTCCTGTTGAAAACCCTGCGACTGTCAGGGAAGACGCACCAAAGATGCCATCAGATGCTGAAATTCCCCGACCGCCACCCACAAACCAAGAGGAGCAAGGACTGCAGACTCTGCCAGAACCACCACAGCAAACAGGCCACAAATATTCCTGCAACATGTGTGGCAAAATCTTCAAACACCCGAGCAACTTGGAGATGCACAAACGCTCACATACAGGTTAATCAATGTCTTATAATCGAGCTGGCTTATCATGTTGTCGTAATAATATACATTTTATTTTCATAACGATTCGGTTTTTGTATGTTGCAGGCGAGAAGCCGTTTGAGTGTAATGTTTGTGGGAAGAACTTTTCACAGGTAGGCTCAAATCATGTGACGTGCAAATTGCATTAGGATTTATTTGATTGTTTTTGCTGCAGTGGCATTTCTGTTGTTTGTTCTCAGGCTGGAAATTTACAGACACATTTGCGACGACATTCTGGAGAGAAACCTTACATCTGTGAGTTATGTGGCAAAAGGTAAGTATGGTTTGGCAGACTTTTTGTCATGTATGTGTTTTCCTACTGAAGTGCCCTAATCATGTTAAACAATTCAGAGCTGTACTTGAGTGTTATAATATGCTAATCTTAAAAAAAATCTATCCAAAAGGCATCGAGCAAAAATGTTTTAAAAAATGTGCCCAACAAATAATGTGTGCCTCACAATGGTGACCCCTGATGGGACAAACTGAAAGTCGCAACGACGACTTGAGTATAATACGATGTGGATAATGAATATTTGTCGTACATTTTATAACTTATAAGGCGACATGAATCAAATGGTCACATTAATTGTGTCACATGCAATATACTGCACCTCCTCATAGCTTCACCGCATCTGGGGATGTCCACCGTCACAAAGTGGTGCACACAGGAGAAAAGCCACATCTATGTGATATATGTGGTCGAGGTGAGTTATGTCTCGAAACATGACCAGTTGTGATTTCCAGAGTCACGCGCCAGTAGACTCGCTTGTTTTTCATGACTTCATCGTACACATTTGTCTTCATTGAACATAACTATTGATGTTGTCAAGGATTCAACAACTTGAGCAATCTCAAAGAGCACAAGAGAACACACGCCACAGACAAGACGTTTACCTGTGACCAGTGTGGGAAATCCTTCAACACACACAGGAAACTTCTGAAGCACAAAGCCTGCCACGGTGGCGAGAAACCACACAGTTGTGACACCTGTGGTAAGTCTGCGCCTCGTTTGATAGCATCCCATCCAAACAGGCACAGTACACGTTCTGCGATTTGCACAGTGGGATTTTTTTAATGAACTACGAAACACTTCACTGTTGTACAGAAAGCTATTTATATACCTACTATTTGGGCCCAGTAGTCTTACACCACAGTAGTTTACTAGTAAGGTTTAATTGCATACTAGTAGGCCACAATTGGCACTAATTTTTGCACTGAACTGACTGACTAATGAGGACGAAAAGCATATGCGGAATCGATATCAAATAAATGCTGAAACATCATTCCGGATTCCATAAATGTTGTCCACCTGCGCAGGAAAATGCTTCATTGGCTCGGGGGATTTGCAGCGTCACATCCGGTCTCACACTGGAGAAAAACCTTACCTTTGCAATACCTGTGGAAAAAGCTTCACTCGGTCAGCCATGCTGAGGAAACACAGCAACATGCGCTGCAAGGGCGCACCAACTGATGGCGCCATTACAGACAACTCTGACCAGACTGGCAGCTCAGCTGCAGCTGTGTCGATTAGCAAAACTGTCTGCCAGAGTGACGTCGCAAGTGAGCAGTCTTTTTCTGTAGTGATGCCTCACGCAGGACCTGAGAAGCCTTCGCCGCCTTCACCCCCAACACCCCACGTGGAAACGACACCGCTGAGTATCCATCTAAGCCCAGCATCTACTCCAACCTCCCTTCCAGAACTACGCTCCCTCGTGCCACATCACCTCCTCTCTTCCTCCCACCAGGACAGGTGCACGGCGCTACCTGGCCCAGATCACATGAAGCTGCCCAAACCACACACCTCTCAAGAGGTTGAATATGGGCCCAATGTGGAGAATGGACCCATTGGAGTTGAGATGGGTCGAGGTCTGTTGGGTAAGCCTTACCTGCCTGTTCAAGACAATTTTTCTGCTCGGTCCACGAGCGGTTTATACAGGTCCAATGAAGGCAACTTCATCTCAAGTGTAACTCTGTGGGGACTAGCAATGAAAACTTTGCAGAATGATAATGAAATGGAGCAATAAGACTTCAGGAACAATGTGTGGTGAGCACTTTGAGGAAAATTACAACATCACTCCGACGTGTTCCTCTGTCTTGTAACCAGAATATTAAACCCTTCTCATTACAATGCAAAAACTAGAAAATCAATCTGACAGTATTACACTCAACCAACATGAAAAAGATTGATTCCATTTTTGGATATAGTTTTGCATTTTTATATATTTCTTTTTTATTTAATAAAATGATGCTAAACAACACTGAATTCATTTGTCTACTCTAAAGCATGCCTTGCAAGTACTGTAGTTCATATGGAAGGTTAAAAAAAGCAAACAGCTACACAATTGCATCGGTCAGTTTTTTAATATCAATCCTTAAAGTCTATCCAAGAGTTTACAGTCCAAAAATACACCGTACATTACATCGAATTAAATACTGTACTCTGTTTGCATCGGTAGGGGATTTATTTCAGTATTGCAGTACAAAGGTGAGGAGCGGATGTCCAAAAACCACGCCCACACTCCCACAACGTACACACGAGGACATTTTCGGCGTTTAACCTGCGGAGATTTACATGTTATTTTCTATTTTACATTATTTTCGATGGCTGATTGATGAAAGTAAACTGAGGGAAAACGACGACAATTTTTCCTTCGTCGGAGACAGAGCGCAGAGTATGCTACCGCGCATGCTCAGTGCCACAGGAAACAGGAAGTTGAAAGCAGAAATCAAATTTATTTCGTGCATCATTTTCGACGGTGAGTAATGCGTTTCTTTCAAGATGCAAGTTGATGCAACACTTTTGTTTCAACAGAAATGGAGATATCTCCGCTAGGAGCACGCATTTACGTTCATAAACATTCATTTACCTAATTAAGAATCTGTTCTATGACTGCTTGGGGTGCTTATGTTTTCTGTTTTCACTTGTCAAACCCACATTAAAATAACACTGGCAGCTATTAACAATAATTATTTAAGCATAATAGACAAAAATATCATTGGAATAGCGTCACTCATGTCGTAAGACTTAAACATTCCTTGTAAAGTACTCCAGCATTTTTTAATTCCTGATTAATATTGACAGTCTGCTAAATATTTTTTTTCTATGATCAGATCCAGGATCACAGAATAACCGCCCACCTAGTCCAACACACATGGTACTTTTTACATTCACATTGAAATAACTATTGTTGCAAAGGGATATAGCCGGAATGTAGCATGGTAATGTCCCGATGATTAACAATACTGTATTTCCTCTTTTCTTCCAGTGCCAGGCCTGTCAAGAAAAAGTGTTTTTCACATTCATCATCACTGAATTCTAGTGTTGCATTAGTCTCATTGCCACAAGTGGATCAACTTTTCCAATACCTTGCACTGCATATATCTGTGTGGGGTGGGAAAATGAGTCAAACTAAAGAGCTCTCTGAATTTCAGCGTGGTTCTGTAATAGGATGCCACCTCTGCAACAAGCCAGTTGGTGAAATTTCTTCTCTCCTGAATATTCCAGAATCAACTGTAAATGATGTTATTGCAAAGTGGAAGCTTTCAGGACCGTCAACGACACAGCCAAGAAGGGGCAGACGAGCTAAAGTGGCAGAGACTCAGTAGCATCATGTTTGAGGGTAGCCACCCCCAGCTAACTCAAACCATTCTAGTACTGGTGTCAAACGCAAGCCCCGGGGTCCAGATCTGGCCCGCTACATCATTTTATGTGGCCCGCGAAAGCTCATGGGCTTTGACTTCATGTTTCTTGCTAAACTACCAAACTTGTAAATTGTCTTTACTTTCAAAAATGTTGAAATATTTCGAGCATTTTTCATTACCACTCCTCCCATTTAAAATAAATGTAATAATATTCAAACAAACACTTTTTAATGGATCGTGATTTTTAAAAAAAATTTAATTTGTTGTGTGTAGAATATCAGGTACATACATACAGTACATTTCTTGGGGTTCACACTCATTATAGCCCTCTGAAGGAAATCAAAACTGCTCTATGGACCGCGACAAAAATTAGTTTGACAACCCTGCATTACAGGGTTCCAGACATCGAAAATAGTGAGTTCAATTTCTACAAGAGGGACATGTGGTCAGGGTAGGCAAGTGAGGCAGTGCTACCCGCTGCTGGCTGTTCTCTGCATGTGAAGAGTAAAAAAGAAAAAAAAATGTTTCCAATCAAAATCTAACTTTAGGCTAATCTTCTATTTTGGGTTTGTATTTTTATTTCCAACTCCAGAGGAGTAGTGCCTCACCAATAACGAACCTCACCGAATGTCACATATCCTATGCGTCAGTGACACAGTGAATTTTGTCTCCTAGTCTCTTCCTCTGTTGCTTTCTTTCTCGCTTTCTCTCTCTGCCTCTTTCCCGTCAGGCTACAGTTAATCCCAATTATGTACGCCGTCTAACTGGTGCAGGACGAGACCAGTGCTTGTGGCATTTTACCCAGAATCATTTCCAAAGCACATCTTTTGTTTCGATATCCAAACATGTTTCATTGATACCACAAGCAGATGACGATAGGATTGCAATAACAGCTGAGTGTGACATATTCCTACTAATCAGTTGTCCACCAGACTTTTGTGTTCTTACTGCTTTTAAATGTATGTTATGGCAGGGTCTTTTATTTTTTTTTACTCTTGATAGGCTTTGCTCTAAATCATCAACATCAGAGAATATGGACAAGCTCTGGCAGCAGTTCCAGCGGAGCAGTAATTGCTGCGGGGTTGTGGAGTGTTGCATTGTTGGATGAGATGGATAAGTGGCTGACCTAGTCTCTCGACTATAATTCCTCAGTGAGTCTCAATATGAAATAGGCTTAGGCAGAAGAGAACAATGGCGATTGTTCATATACCGCTGCATCGGCTCTCGTTCTTTTTATTCCTATCGGAACGCATTCACCTCCAGTTGAGCTTCATTGACGGAAAACACAGATGGACTGTTGTTATTGTCACAAAGATCCACACATTTTGACAAACATTGTTGAATTTGTGAAGCTTACTGCACATTGACTGGTGTGTCAAAGATGACGGATAATACACGGGCATGTCCTCCAGATGGTCAATAACCATCTTTCTGTGTTTTGGATTGCATCATATACATGGAAATGTACACACACAGGCACGAGGCACATCTGTTATGCTACCCTCAGCAAGCCTTATATTATTATTATACAGGTATTTGTACTAGTCCACAATAATTGTTTTTACGTTATGTTTGTATCTCAAGCATATTCGAACCAAAAGGATGTCATCCAGACGTCTTCATCTGTCCCTATGCACATCCATTTAATGGCGAATGCGAGAGCCAATCAGATGTAATGACTCTCTGATGCTTCGGCAGCCAAGCCCCCCAGGCAGTGTTTGTGTTGCTTGCATGTGTGTGTGCACAAGATAGAGAAGGGAACCGAGAGAATGGCGGGAGGAAACTGGAACGATGGCGGAGATGTGGTCAGATTCGCAGTGCTGTCAGAATGCTTTGCACTTGCCATAATCAAACTGTATCAGGGGGCTGTATTGCACCCACTTTTGTTTTACTCTCACGTGCACGTTTTTTACTTTACTTACTAAGTTTGAGTCCCACTGCTGCCCCCCCAAAAAATGGAAGCAATTGTTGGAGACTAGTCTCATCCTGCTTCTACTCGTTCGTGACTGTTGTTGAGGCGCCCTTGTTTGCACGCCCCTTCACTCTGACACCTCTGCTTGCATGCCTGCATGCGTGTTATCTGGTTCTCTGCGAGGTGTTAAACACAATATATTCCTGTACAGTAGCAGAGTATAAAATGAATTTACTCATGAGGGATTTTGACCAGGATAGGTATCATAAATGCAAAAATAATCACATTGAAATACTGTAGGTAGGCTGTAGATTGTTGGTTACCCCTCATAACAGAAAGAATTTTAAGTTACTCGCAAATTCGGAATTTCTTTTCTTTGTCCCCCCCACCCTGATATCATCTTTTGCAAAAGATATATTTCTACTTTATAGCGTTTTTCAATATGCTGTCTCTATGTGGTAGCTATTTCCCACAAAATATTTTTTTCACATATTTTCAGTAATACATTCAAACACTGCTTTTGATATGATAAAAAATTCAAACACTACGATTATAAAATAATGTCAAATGTGGTGTGTATACGTCTGTCACTTAAACGAGATTAATAATTCAGAACTGCGACTGTTTGGCATAAAAGCGCAACAATAAGAGCGAGAGGGAGACTCGGTTTCTTTCGGACGGAGTCGGAATCCGAGGCAAAAGCCCCCCCCCGGACTGATCGCACCTCACTGCTACTCGGATTGGGTCTCCCGTTTGCTGTTTGTTTACATTCAATCAAGGGAGTAGCACGAGGAAGCGCTGCTGGAATGGACACTGCAAATCAGGTCAGTAAATGCTCGGCACGCGTACTTTTTCAAATGTAATCGTCTGTTCAATTTAAACATAGTATTAAATCTGAAAAGACCCCGATAGCCCACTTCTTTCTTTCGTGTCTTGGCAGCTCGCATCTGCGGGGACCTTCCAGGTGCTCAAACTACCTCTGGGATTTATCCGCGTTTTGGAATGGGTGAGTTGGAACATTTTTGTTTGCGTCCCAGGCGCTAACTTAATTAAACACGGCAGAGTTATATAATGTGGATTAAATGTGACGCGGAGGACGTTTACGTCTCGCCGCTATCGGCATTTTTTCAGTCAGATATTGATTTTACTTTCAATTGATCATCGTAGCATTATTTTTTTCCGAATGATACTGACGAAATTAGCCATACCGTGAGCGTGCCACCGTGACGCTGGTCCACAAAATCATGCAACATAAAGTGAAATAAGAAGCAATGAAATGAAAGTAATGGGGGTGGGGGGACAAATATTTCAGTCTGTTGCTCGTTTTTGCTGTGCTGTGAACCTTTATAAATGTGTGTGTGTGTGTGTGTGTGTGTGTGTGTGTGTGTGTGTGTGTGTGTGAGTGGTTTATTGCAAATAATGTGTGCCGAAATTTACAGATGGATGCTGTTGGATTACCTTTCAGATGTATACACAACCTTCTTAATTTCACTCTCGGTCTCTGCAGTCTTCTCCTTCATGCAACAGTCCATTATGTCCATGGACTATTATGTACCATGTACCCAAACCTCACGATTCTGATGTTTCGGGTTCAAATATCATGTCATCATCTGTGCCGCCCAAATCCAATGTTCCACCCCGTCTGCTGGGTCAAAATAATGACCCAAACCTTGAGTTACAAGTATCCCAATATGCTCAAAATCCACAGCTACCCAGCGAGTGGATGAGGACAATAACCCAGCATTTTTTAATGTAGCAAATGGCCATCATGACTGAAAGAAATGAGAAATGTCATATATGCCCTTCAACACAGAAATATTAAGGGGCGGGGGGGGAAGCGTCTCACACACGCTTATACACAAAACAACCCCAGGGGAGCAGGTCACAACACACAAATGTGACATTCTCTTTTTTTTTTTGTTGTTTTTTTTTTTTTATTCATGGGATTCGAACATTTTTAACCTTTCTGATGGCAATTCAAACAATGGTCCAAATTTGAACTGCCTCAAATGTGCACACTTTCTGCTGTGTCCGTTGAAAGCAACATGACTTCTGGGAAGAAGGTTACGTTTCACGGCTTGGCTAATAAAGTCCACCCTTTAACTGTAGCCACAGCCAATTGGCCAAGCGGACACTGAAGCTACGTTCACATCAACCGTACTCATTGAAATCCACTGAGTTGGCTGCATTGTCATTTAAGATTGCAAGCCGTTATCGGCCATGTCTGCAAAGAATGCTGATGGTGTGTGTGTGTGTGTGTGTGTGTGTGTGTGTGTGTGTGTGTGTGTGTGTGTTTGTGTGTGTGTATGTTTGGCACACAATCTCTGGCTGGCATATTCCGTTCCAAACAGCTGTAAGGTCCGCTTCTCTCCACCGTAGACTAACTCATGCAGAAGCTGTCCTTTGAGATGTGCCCAAGCACTTCACTTGGCGTGTGTGCGCGCACACACAAGAGCGATGGAATGAGAAAAGCGGCAAAATTGCACAGTCGGATGAGCACATGATGCTAATGATATACATTTGTTTATGCATCGAAGCGTCATCATCGCTGCAACATCTCACACACTTGCGCGGGCACTGTATCATGCGTGACGTGGGGCCAACCAACGTGTATGGAACCAAAATGCAAGTGAACAAGCCACAAATAACGAGTAAATAATTTCGTTCTTTGCGAGTCGGGATCTTCTTATCAGCCGTAAGATGGGGCTGACCCAGAATCATTGCAAATGGATCTCGGACCGGTGTGTGTTAGCGTGCTTGTGTGTTATTTTTCCACTGGCTTCAGTGGACTATAACGCGTCGGTGTTTGTTTTTAACAGAGTGCTGCACAATGTCCACTCGCACATACAGCACATTCGCACCACGTCAAAACAAGGTGGGAGAAAATGTGCGGTTAGTTCAGAATCCGATTGACAAAATGTTTTTTTTTCTTTTCTTTGACCTGCAAACGCAAACAGTTAGAGAGACGACTGAGCAGGAACAAGTCGGGCACCTCACTGTCCAAGCAATAGACGATAGAAGGCCATCAGAGAAGAACAGCGTAACAAAATCGAAATGGAGATTTTTTTTTTTTTTTTTATGCTCGTGGGCAGCGGAGCCTGCAGAGAGCGAGAGAGAAAATGAGTTAGTGGGGTAGATGAATCTGAGCTATGCAGGACAAAAAGCAGTCCCCGCGCATGAAGGGATTAGCCGCCACTAAATGAGTCCTGAATTTGTTTTGTGACGCTGCTGCTGCAAAAAGATAAGACAAGCTTTCTCGTGAAAGTGTGCCGCTGTTAATAGAAGTGGTTAGCTTTTAGGATGAATTGGCTAGTTGATATTTTTTTTTTTTTATATGGAAAATTTAGGACATTTTATGCTGAATCGAACGATCGCACAAATTGTAAGATGATACTGTAGTTCCACTATCGTCAACAAGTACGCATCTGTGTGTCTACATACAATATTTTGCACCAAAATGAGTAACGGAATGTAACAGTGTTACGTATTCCATCCATGAATTTTATGAACCGCTTTATCCTCACAAGGGTTGCGAGGGGTGTTGGAGCCTAGCCCAGCCGTCTTCGGGCAGTAGGCGGGGGATACCCTGAACCGGTTGGCAGCCAATCGCAGGGCACACAGAGATGAACAACCAACTCACACCTAGGGACAATTTAGAGTGTTCAATCAGCCTGCCATGTATGTTTTTGGAATGTGGGAGGAAACCGGAGTACCCGGAGAAAACCCACGCAGGCACAGGGAGAACATGCAAACTCCACACAGGGAGCTAGAATTGAACCTGGTACCTCTGCACTTTGGGGTCGACGCGCTAACCACTGGACCACCGGGCCGCCGTGTTACATATTAGATTATATTAGATTAGATTAGATTAGATTAGATTAGATTAGATATCCTTTATTTGTCCCACACTGGGATTCATTCAGGAGGCAAACATTTTTTAACGGTATTCTGTCACAATTACAGAAACCAGACACATAATCAGCTGACAGGTACATGTTTTAAAAATTGGATCATTATCAAGAAATACATTTTTAATGTGGGGAGTGACACCGCGCAGTCGCATCCCCTTCCGCCTTGAAACTTGTTGGCCACAAAAATGTTTCCGGGGTGAAGCGGCTAACTGGTCACAATATCGCTCAACGGAGCGCCGCTTGGTTGTCCCACGTTAAGTTTTTTTGTTGGCCTTGGGCGTGATGGTTTCTTTATATCAAATCAGAGGCGCAAGATGAGGATTTTTTTTTTCACGGATCATATTTATCTTGCATTACTGTCCTAATGACTGTTGCAAAATAAATATACAGTATAAACAAATATATGTGACAAAAACTCTTTTAACATAAACTGACACAGACACAGGTTGTCATTTTTTCGACAAGATGTCATTTGCATCGATGTTTTGTTTTACAAAACCTTGCTGTGAATTCGGCTCTTCCCGTAAAACGATTCAATGCCATGTCGGTCAGGAAAGAGGGCAAAAAGGGAGATGTTTGTTTTTCATTTCTGTACTCAAGCATCTTCTTCTTCTTGCCGTTGCATTTCTCTTTTCTCTCCCTCTACGGCTTGCTCCCTGAGGAGCCCAGCTGGGAGAGGAAGATAAACACGCGGGGTGCGCAAGGCTTAGCAGCCACCCTCCCGCTACAATGCCACACTCCCCTGTTCAAAGGCCCCTGCCTGAAATGAGAAGTGCCGAACTCCACCGATAAATCATGGCAAGATGAGACGGCTGCAGGAGGCGGGAGGTGGGTGGTAAATGCAAGGGAAGAGATAATGATCAGGCCTTGTTGGTAACACTTAAGAGCATTTATTATTCTCCCCCTCTGGCCACTTCTCTTTTCCCATCTGGCATCGGGGATTTTGGGAGGTGTGTGTGTGTGTGTGTGTGTGTGTGTGTGTGTGTGTTTGTGTGTGTGTGTGTGTGTGTGGGTGGGGGGTCATTGATGCATGATTCCAGCAGAAGAACCCCAATTGAACAGACCCGCAACCGCTGGACTGCAGATTCTACTGACAGAAAATGGTGTCCATGCCACTCAGACGCCCCCTTGTAGAGTCCCTTTCAAATTTGGCGCAGCACCAGTAAATGGTGCTTTTATTTATATTTATATATTTTATATTTTTATTTATATATATATATGTGTGTGTGTGTGTGTGTGTGTGTGTGTGTGTGTGTGTGTGTGTGTGTGTGTGTGTGTGTGTGTTTGTAGCCCTCCAAACTGAGAGTCCCGACTCTCCTCGCTTTTCATTGTTTATTCAGCCCATAATCAAGACTCCAAAAAGACCTGGATTTGACCCCGACATTGGCTCTTTGTGAAATATGATATTGATCAAACAAGCAGAGGCCATTCTAAATATTCCGCCCCCCTCTGACCCCTTTCTTAGCTATTTGCCATATTTGCCTTCGCAACATGCGGTGGCTACTCTGGACAGCTGCGGGTGAGTGTGGACTGCATGGAGAAGGCCAGCAGCAACCTCAGCATTGCCATCGACTTTGCTTATCCTTTCAGGTGAGCCGCGTTCATCTTCATTGTTTACCACGTTCCATCTCAAGTTTATTCCGTTCCCTTGTTCCAAGCAATCATTGGGAGAGTGTTCAATGCCCTCCTTCAACTTACTTGACCTTGTGTGTCAGTGATTCTTTAAGTGTGGTACGTGAAAAAAAAAATCACAGCTTCAGTACTGTTCCGTTGTATTGAACTGAATTTGATCTTTAAGAATTGCTGGTTGGAAATATTTCTACAGATACCATTTTGCATTTGCATGCATTTTAATTTAATAATTATTCCTACATACAGCTTTTATTTATTTTTTTTTTATGTTTAAACACAGTCTAAGTGTCCAAACTGAATAGAGTTAGTGGTACGCGGAGAGAGAGAAGTATTTTTAGGTAGCACTCGGTGTGAAAGGTTTGCGAACCACCGTTTGTGTGATCACCGTGTCTATTTCGCATCAGGTTGCACCGGGTGTCATTTGAAGCGCCCGCGTGCGAGGGCATGAGGAGGGAGCGCCTCTTTCTCACCGGAGACTATTCATCCTCTGCCGAGTTCTTCGTAACAATTGCCGTCTTTGCTTTCCTGTACTCCCTGGTGGCCACCGTCGTCTACATTTTCTTCCATAACAAGTACCGCGAAAACAACCGAGGACCGTTGATCGTGAGTATATGGTTTGATATTCCAAATCAAAGGTTTTGGGTGACTGATAGGCGAATTGATTACACCGCAGGACAAGCAAATGTGGTTGGATGAGAGTCGTTGCGTCTAGCTGGTTTAGATTTATGACTATAATTTTTTTTTTTTTAATCTTTCCATTTTGGCTCTTTTTATCATGCAGTATGGTGGACCTGTATGCCCTTTTAACAAAACAGAACAGTTTTTTTCGTGCAATAAGGGCGTTTGATGTACTCCCGACACCAAGTGACTAAGTCCCATAGGCCTGTCTGCGAGACATCCGAATGAACCGGGGAAGTAGGGAGAAAAAAAGGTGATGCAGGAACAGACTTACTCATTAATGTTTTTTTTTTTTTTTTTTTTTTGTGTGTGTGTCTTGCGTCCCTGTAGGACTTTGTTGTGACTGTTGTGTTCTCCTTCATGTGGCTCGTCAGCTCTTCCGCTTGGGCCAAAGCTCTGTCTGATGTCAAGCTAGCTACAGATCCAGATGAGGTTCAGCTCCTTATCTCTGCCTGCAAGGATCAGACAAATAAATGTGGCTCTGTGCAGGAACCCCGCTGGTCTGGACTCAACACCTCCGTGGTAGGTTTTACTGGGGGGAAATGACCAGCAAAAGACACCGATAAAAATAATATCCATCCATCCATTTTCTGATCCTCACAAGGGTCACGGGGAATAATAATAATAATAGTTTTGTTTTGTTTTTTAATCATCTCACTTTCTGTCCAGGTGTTTGGGTTCCTCAACTTTGTTCTCTGGGCGGGGAACATCTGGTTTGTCTTCAAGGAGACTGGTTGGCACAAGGGTGCCGCCAGGTTTGTGGGCGGAGCCTCTGAGAAGCAGAGCAGTACCTTTACCCAGCAGCCCTCTAACCAGGGCAGCTTTGATCAGTCGGGGAGCTACAACACCCACGCAGACTTGGGCCAGCTGTCCGAGTACAGTCAGGTTGGAGGTCCCTCCTCTTACGCCAATCAAATGTAGTTTGCCTTTTCAGTACCTCGAAGTGGTACTTGTGCATTTTAAACATGGAAACGGGTGAGGAAAAGAAAAAAAAAATACAACCAAGAAGACAGAGAAGAGTTTGCATCCAATGAATACAAGTTTTGTCAGGTATAGTTTTTTTACTTGTTTTTTTTTTTTTTTTGTGTGTGTGTGTTTTATTTTGGGATGGGTGGATTATTATGGTTGAGTGCATTATGTTCTATTTTATCTCGTATTTGTTTGGTAATGTTGTCAAGTAGGTGTGGACACGGATGTGTTCCGTATTTGAATATTTCAAACTTGGAAAATGGTGTTGACTTTGTGCATGTTACCGCATGTGTTTCTATGGTCTTTGCAAATCTCTATTTTTCTTTTTATTTATTTTTCACTTAGTCCACGCAGCATGACGTATGTCAATTATGTTACAGTATGTCTACAGTTTTTCAAGCTACATTATGTATATTTGAATCATGTATCCACGGTTATGTCATGTGACTCCATTAAAATGCTTAGACAATGTAGATAAAAATGTTTTTGCTCGTGTCAAGAGGATTGTTCCCTTCTTTTATTCACAAGCTTTTGCAACAATTTACTGTGAATGTTGTCCATGCTTGTGTTAACTTGTAAAAAAATATAATAATACAAAGAGTAGGGCTAAACTCTATTAGTGTGCCAGCATGTCACTCCACTGACATATCAAAAGCCCAGCCAAAAAAAAAAAATGTTGATGGCATATTTCTAAACAAAGGTTGCAGAATTTTTATTCTGAACTTACGATCAATGACGTCCGTGTTTTATATTTCAAGAAGTGGTACTCAAAGGTGGCGATGCTAAATTGATGCTTGTTGCAAGGGAATATGACAATTGCAACCCTTATTTGTTGACCTGGGAGCATTCGACAATAAAACAGCTCTTGATGCCCAGATGTGTACACATTTTGTCACTTAACCTTTTCACCAAATAACACGGAGAAGTTAAAACATACGTCAAATGCATGTCCTCCAGATTCTGTCTCGATTTGAATTCAATGTTTAAAGCTCACACGCGGTGTGGATGAGAACCACCCCAATTACTCGAGGTTCTGAATGTTGTCTGACCTCTCCAACATAGCGCCAAAGGTGAGCACAGTATTCTGGTTTGGTGGACTGGGCGGGACTCCTTCGTTAAACTTTGGATGCAGGGGGAAAAAAAAATGTGTTTACTCCAGTTGTGGAGCACTGGACCAGTTCTACGGCCTCACCGGAGAACTCGAAGATAGCCAAATAGATCTGCAGTCCATGTACATCTGTGTTTCTCCCTTGAGAGCCCCCCCCCCCCCCCGCCCCAAACTCCCTCTTGGCCACTCTTTGGAGATGCTGCATGTCTCCATGTTCAATCATTTGACTTCTCTGCAAAGAAAGTCAACTGCACGAGCAACTCTGTCCTTGGGTATTTGTTTCAGATATTCTCTTTGAACCCTTTTTTTTTTTTTTTTTTTAAACAGTAATTTGAGATTCCAACTCGATGCTGGTGAATTTGAATTTTTTTTCTGGGGGGGGGATTGTTTTAAAGGGACAGAGCATTGCCTCAACTGCCAAATTCCAAAGGTTTGATGAATAACTTGAGACAGTAGTTTTCCAATTTATTAAAAAAAAAAAAAATACAGAAGATGTTGCAAACAAAATTGGTTCACTTCATTCGAAACAAAAGAACGGAGTTCATCATTCGGCGCTCCCAGACGGACTTTGCTGATTGTTTTCATCCGTGTCTAATTTCTCATCATCTGCGTGAGATTCAAATCATTAGAAAAAACAGACAAAAACAATAGGACGTTTTGTCATTTGTGGTGCGGGTTGACGACTCACTTTCAAGGGTCTGCTGTAGTTCTTGTATGGTGCTGAGTAGCACATGGAACTGTTTCTTCCGTAGCTCCAACTGAAATTGTGACCGTACAAAGTTCACGTCATCCAAATAATCCGTCCGGGTCGTTAAAAATAAACATGGGAAGCGTTTCTTTACCTTAGCGTCCACATTCTCCTTGATGTTCGACAACTGCTGGAGTTCTTTGTCAAGTGCCTCCAACTGCCTGTAAGCACAAAGGTTACAGAAAGGTGGCAGAAAAGTTGTTTTCTATAGGCAAAACAAAGCAGTTTAAAATTCAAGAAAAGAAATGCAGTTAATGGTCACAGAAAAGACTGGGTTTGACTTTAAAAGTTCCACTAAACTCACTTGAGTGTTTCGTGACGATTAGGGTGATTCTGAATAACCTTTGCAAGAGCATCGTATTCTGCAAGAGAAAAATAAAAATGTCAAAAGGCACCGAGCACTCTTCTGGTATACCCAAAAATAACAATCACTCAAGTATAATGTGATTACAGTGTTAAAACACTTGCACACTGAATCATACTGAGCTTATGATATTCGTCAGACATAGAAACTAATGAATGACTAATTTTGACACATGCATAAATCAGTGGGGGTGGGGGGGTTAGGAAGAGACTTTAAACAGATTTTGAGAACAATTACGTAAATAGTCTTACCTTGGCGGTTCTTTCTTACTCTCTTCGCTCTCTGGATTTCCTTTTTGCATTCTGCTATCTTCTCATGTGCTGAAGTTATATTTTGTTCTGCCAAATGGAGAGAAGGCGATGACTATTGTCTTTCAGCACGCACACAAACAGTGTGTAGTGAACTTTTAATATATAAGTAAATAACGAAATGAAAGAAAAAACGTTTACCTATATTGGAGTAGATTGTGCCATAATTCTCCATTTCCCTCAGATTCATATCATAGACCATCAGAGTCTTCCCCAGGGAGAATTCACATTGGGCCAGTGTCCCTAGCATCCTCTGGTACTGTGTGAAGCTGTTTTTTTTTTTAAATAAAGGAAAACCTTTAAAAATAAATTCCTTCTTTCCACAGAAAATGTGAGATGAAGAGATTCATGATGCATTGAGGTGCATTTCAATCAAAAAGTGTATACTCTTACAGATTCATAAAATACATTATAAAAATGCTTTTGTGAGTTTTTTAAATGGCCAATTCCTTTTTTTTTGCTTGTTCCTTGCATTATAGAGTAGTCTCTCATTCAAATATATACATATATATATATACATATATATATATACACACACACACACACACACATTTCTATTAATTGAGATGCACCTGCAATATGTTAAAACAGCCATTTATCCAAGCAACCCATACATTAAATTCAACAAATATATCGCAAAGTCAAACGCGTGACTATCCAAGTAGATTTTTCGGAAGATGTTCCATGCAAAGAGATCAATCTGTCGAGTTCACTTGCCTTTCTTCCGGTGTCCCAGGTGAGTTGCACCACTTGGTGAAGGTTTTCAACAACAAATTGATTCTCCGATCATCCCCAGCCCCGTCGCCGTCGATAAGAAGACGCTTTCGAATGACTTCGTCTGCAAAACAACCAGAAGAAAACGTCATGGCTCAAGTTAGCGGCTAACAGTGCTAATTGAGAAGGGACTGCAGCCGACTCTTGCGAGTGGAATATGTGCGTCAGCGTTGTGAGGTGACAACATATCAACTCTTTTTAAAGCTTCGGCTCAACTCGATTGACTTGACGGACATAACCCAAAATGAAGAAATGAAAATAGTACTTACCATCTGTGACAGACCCCATATCTTCATCAGTTGATATTCTTCTTCGAACGAATTGGTGACGAGGAGCAGACTCAGCAGACTAAATGCTACGGCTTTACCGCCCTCTACTGGAATAGATGCGGAGAGCAGTCATCCATATAAAAAGCCAGAACACAACAAAAATACACAATTAAAAAGAAAACAATGTAGACTCGATTTTTTGACTGTTTTTTCCACTGACTTGGCTTGAGGATCTTAGGCTGGTTCAAGACAACGGAAATGCCACAAATCATTCCGGTGGTCCATAACATTAAAAAAAAAACCTCTGAAATAAGACAATACATGGGGAAGATCTTGCTCCTCTAAAACTGTTGCTATGCTCTCTGTTAATTTATTACGTTGCTGTCCCTCTTTTGTTTTGCAATGTAGGACCTAAAGTTCTCAGTCGGTCAAGATCTCAACACCCCTTGGCTTTACCGTCTTTTTTAATTTGTTTCATTATCCTCACTAGTTGAATGGAATAAGCCTATTTTGCCAAAACAAGGATTTATGTGATTTGTGTGACAATTAGTGGTATGCAAGCTCCCTCTTGTGGTACAAAAAGTAATCACTGTATTCAATGATCAAACTGTGCATCATGTCACAGGAGTTTTTTTTTTTTAACCCAGTACATCAGGACATCCATCCATCCATCCATCCATTGTCTGCACCACATTCATCACCAGTGTTCCGAGTGTGTTGGAGGCTATCCCTGCTCATTTAGGGCGAGAAGCGGGGTGCACGCTGAACACCAACATTCACATCTAGGACCAATTTGGAGTCTTCCGTTCATCTGACATGCATGTTTCTAGAATGTGTGAGAAAACCCACACAGGCAGAGGGAGAACATGCAAAACCAAAAGAAGAAGGCCAGAGCCCTAATTTTAAACCAACCAATAAAATAAACTCAAGCGAAGAACAGCGACCCGAGGTTGTCACTGAAATACGGTAACAAAGTATTCTTACCTCGTTCCTTCCCACACCTGGAAATGATTGACTGCCCTCTTTGGTTGTAAATTCTATATTTTACATAGAGCTCTAATTACCGGTTGTTGCCCGAAATATATTCCGTACTTCCCCAAACACGCTTGAAACAATGAAACGCGAGCCAAACTGCGCGTGAGCTATTTACAGGGGCGCGCTCGTTGAAGGCTCAGTGACGTCACATTCCCAGAATGCAGTCTGGTAAACAGACATGGAAGCACCTGGTGAAGACCTCCACAGAGGCTGAGCACCGCACTCGCTCTTTCTCGCCGTGTCCTGTCCCTTTCGCCCATTGCATCCAGTTGATTTCAATCGGCCTGGCGTTTGTTTACACTAACCGGCATCTGTAGGATTGGTAAGGGCAAACTTGCCGCGAGTCTGTGACGACTGCTTGTGACTTGTGCTGTACTGTCAGGCTGCTGGCAGCTTCCTCGCTAATGCTAGTCATGGCTGGCTGTAGGCTTTAGCTAGCAGGGCGACGTAGCCACCGAATGCTCTCTCATAGCATTTGGAGCAGCAACATTGAGCCGGACTGGATGCAACCTGCTTTCGCTCCACGGCTTCTGTCAGATATACACATTACGTTTTCCACTTGTACCAGCAGCAGTAATGAACGTGCCTTTTCGCACGTCAGTCTCACTTCACTCTCTTTCAAAATGACCAATGATCGTTGTTGATTTGGAGGTGGGAGCAAGGCTCCTCAAAACTTGTTCTGGCTTGGGACTGACGGCTAAAGTTACTTGACAATCACTGAAAGATACTTATTTTTCTCTTCTTTAGTTTTTTTTTTTTTTTTAACATTCACTTTAGTTTTTTACTTTTGCTTTCTTTATGCTTTGCATTGTAGTCGCGCTGCGTTTTCGAGTCGCAATGTAGTCCACGTTAGGCTTGTCCTGTTTACATTGTAAAGGAGCGACGAGAGAATACAGTAATGTACGTTGTTATTCATATTTACTCTCAATATATGTTGCCAGTATCTATCTATCTATCTATCTATCTAGCTATCTATCTATGATAAAAGTGAGTAAAAGTATCATAGTATCTGCTAGTGAAATTACAGCTCTAAAATGATCTTTTAAAAATACTGCTGAACACAATATATTTTTTTTGTAAACAAAATATACATCTGGACAACTAAAATGTTAGAATGGTTTTATAGAGGATTATCACTACTGCCTTCTCAACTCAACTCAAATGTATTTATAGAGCACTTTCATAGCTATTTGTTCATTTTTTTTTTAAATAGACTATTCAAAGAATAATTCTACCTACCTAACTAGACTCCCCTCAATGTGCATGTGTGTTTCTAGATTTCTTCTTCAGTGTGTGCGGCAGCCAGTGAGAACCCAAACTGATGTGGATCAGCTGACTGGGTTACAAATAAGTTACTTTTTTGCTTATTTGCCAAGGTAATATTTCACTTCTTTATGACCTATGTGCCATTCACATGAATTACAATTGCTAGGAATTGCTGCTTCATAATGAGCCTTATAAAGGCACTATCTGATGCAATTTTGTACCCGATAGACTCATACATTGTCATACGGCAACCATTATTTTCATCTAGTTCACACCAAGTTAGTGTAATTTACACAGTATATAACACTTGTCATTCAAACACACACACACAGATTTGACTTCATTATGATTATGTGCTTGACAGCTCAGTTTAAATGTGCAGCATACAGGGCCCAAAAAAAACAAGTCACACCATAGTGCCACACGACAGTGTTGGTTAACTAAGACGATTGATTATCTTTAATTAGACAATGATAGTAACACTAAATCACCGTGATGATGATCAGTATTGTTCGGGGGTACACTGTTGATCTGTGTTTACGTTTTGAAGCACATTAACTGTACTGCACGCAATGACTGACAGTTTCATTCAAAATTTTGCAAGTTGTTGTTGGCAACCTTTCCATTTCTACCCGCCCGTCATCGCACGAAGATCACATAACTCCTTATGCTTGCAGTCTTTATATCATCGATCTATTAGCCTACTACTGTGCTTACTGTGAGAACCCAGGCTTTTATTATTCCTAAACACAACACGAGAATGTGTGGAGCTTTATCATGTAACATATGCTGGTCTCAAGTATTAGTACCGACATATTGGTTTCAGTTGCAACAGCTCACAAAAAAAAAAAAAATCCCTTCCTAGAATCCCCACCGCAAGTGCGTTACCACTATTTTATCACGTCACATTAGTGAGAAAGATCACACATTTTTGAATACTTTCATTTCTGCAAATCTGTATACAGTATGACAGTACCTCATTGCTCGTATCCTGCAATACATTGTAAAGCAACAAGCAAAAGACGTATTCATTGGTTATTTATTTCAGAGCTCTTGTCACGGCCGTGTCAAAGAAGAAACTATAGAAAGGAAGCCTTTTCATCACCTTCTCACACGATAATTTGATTCCTTTGTTTTTCCTATTTCTGTGAGCATATATACAGTCCATTTATGGACACAGCTTTTTAACGGTCGAGAAATGAGTGAAAAGAGGTAATGAACCTGTGTTAATTCCACAGCTATTTCTAAAGTATAATTTTTGGTTGTACTATCCGAGAAGGATGTTTTTTTTTTTTTGAAAGGTGGTTGAAAAAAAGGAAGTGTTTCTTCAGAAGAGGAATCGTTGCCTGTAAGTCAACTTGAACTTGTAAGGTGCAGTCGTCACAAGCAGTCTCGGCGAACGGCCCCACACACATTTTCTCTCAGTACATCAGGGAGTAGAGTCAGTACATTACTCGGGATGACAAGTTGGAATACATATTTTTATTTTTTTTTTTCCAGAATGATGTATGTACTATATTTCCTCAGATAGTGGCCATCCTGCAAAGAGATGCCGCGTTGTAGTTAGTCCCCGGTTGCATCATGCCCTAGGGAAAAATGAATCGCTCCCTCAAATAGACTTCTCCGACAGGGAAAAGTGAACTGTAACTGACATCGCCTCGTTCAAGGCACTGTTTGAGAGTTTAACCTCTCCGCATCTGTCGACTAAATATATTCTAAACATGTGAAACAATGTATTTGTTCGGAATGCATCACTCTAATCTTCTCAGTGTCAGTAAACTTAAAGCAACTGACTGTCCCTTGAAATCAGGACGGTGCAAATGTTTTGAACATTACTCTGCCTATTCTTGTCAGGGAGGGTGAAAAGATCTGGCAGACTTGAAACCAGTGGTTCTTAATCTTGTTAGAGGTACTGAGCCCAACCACTTCATATGCACGTTCACCGAACCCTTCATTACTGAAAAATAATAATCGGATTCAAGAAGTGTTCCTTTAGTTTTGCCGGTGCGAGACTAGAGTTGCTCAACTTGGCATGACAAATCATGCAGATAGGATGCTGATTCCCATCACGTTCTGTGATGCATGTGAATCCATGTACTACATATTGGTCCGACCACTGTCTTTTTTTGCTCAACATAGTTAGCATGTATTAAAACATTCACCAAAAAAAAAAAAATCACACGGCATACTATCACGACAGTCACACGGTGACTACTGAGCAAACTAAATTTCCCGCAGCACTGACTGGACAACCAATGTCATGTGATCATCTGCAGCCAGTGATGGCCAAGCGGGCGTGCCATAACTAATTGACATGTTGAGTCGGGTGTGTCTTAACTTCCATGGCAGGAGCCTTTGTCGAACCCCTGAGATCGATTCACCGAACCCCTGGGGTTCAATCAAACCCAAGTTAAGAACCACTGCTTTAAACGTCTCATAGTGAAAGTGAAAGCACTTTCAGTCTGGTGAAACCTTCAGTCTCGTCGAACATCAACATGTCTACAAAATGTTATCTGTCCGTAGCATGGCAAACGTCTTGCACCTCCTTCTCATGGTTTATTTTCTTCAACGTGCATGTGTGAGCGGATATTCATACATCACTCTGCATGAGTCACCACCCTTTTAGAGCTTAAATCATCTGATCTGTAAGTTTTTTTTGATTTTTTTTTTTTTGTCTGCTACACTCACTCCAGTGGATAACTACCACCCATTACATTATAAACGATAAACGTGTTTGATTAGTACACTTTGACCGGAGTGGGCATTTTGCCTTTGTAAATGAATACTACACCACATGCATTTTACATTGCATGTACTTTTTATTGTTTAAAGGCCATTATCCTATCTTAATGTCCATTTTTTGTTACAGATAACAAAACAAGTGGTCCCATCTCAAATATTATGCATGTGAAGATTTGTTGGCATGAACTGATCATTTTGCAGTGGTCTCTACATTTTTAAAAATTAATTCATTTATTTTGCTCGAAGGTCAAAGGTGAGCTTGTGCACAGAAAAGCAATGATGTGGCTTTGGTGTCATGGCACTGGTGCAGGATCATCGCATTCATGAAGCGTCACTTTAGGTGACACCAGGGGTCACCAAGATGGTGCCCATAAGCACATAAGTAGCCCCTGGGTCTGGTCTAAAAATAGCTCCTCGGTGATGGGACATCGTCATTTCCAAGGAATGTCGTTGAAGTGATTGTTTGGAAATATCGAGGGAGATATTTATAGAAATAAAGTTTTGCCTATTGGTATGTGTTTCCTACCTTGTTAACGTGATTAGTATTTTCACATCGATGAATACAATCAATTTATATGAAAAACATCATTCAAAGTATTTTGAGCTAATTTTTTTTTTTTTTTTCAAAAGCGTTTATCAACCTGATAGTTTTTCCACATTAATCTTCCCAAGCAGGTCTCAGGTTCAAAAAGATTGACAAATGGTCGTCCCATCTCCTGGGGAATGGTAACATTTGCTGCGATGTCAGGGTGACTCCTCAAAATTCAAATGCAATTGTCAAGTTCTAGTTTTAATGCAAGAAACGAGAATAATTACAACAACAATACGAATGCTTCAATAGACAGGGAACAGAGTTAAAATTAAATCTCGACGATAGCTGTCTTATTTTTTGAACGCCTCCCGAGTGGCCACGCGCGTATTTTGGATTTGTTTATTTGGGGAAACGTGCGATGCGAGACGACGCGGTCGCGAGCCACGAGGAAAGTCCTCTCCTACGCCGAGCTGACTCTCGTGTCGTTACATTGTAGCGGAAAGAATGTCGGAAAGGGCCGAGGATGACGTCAGGGGGGAGCAGCGCCGAGCAGCCAGGCAGCAGCTGAAGCAGCAGCAGCAGCCGATCCAGCGGGGAGAAGGCTCCACAGCAATGGCGACTGTTGCGGAGCGGAGATCCTTACCGAGTCCAGAAATAATGGTGGGACAGCCTTGGAGCAACTGGGTCGACGCCGCCAAACTCCACGGAAACGACGGTGAGTCCGCTCGCGTCCCGAATGTGTGCGCCGAAGCGAGGTGGAGCGCCCCAGCGTCGCCGGCGCTGGTGTGCTTATTTGTGGCCGTTCGCATGCAGTTGTCGGCGGAAGATGAAGAAACCATAGTGGGGAGCAACGTGCAACTATTTATTTGCCTCTGTGTCGGCTCGCCCCGTTTTCTCAGGTGCTGAATTGGAGGAAAGTTTCAAAGACTTGGGGAAAAATCGCGAAGCCATGCGTTTGTGCAGAGAAGGTGAGTGAGTGTATGTGTGTATGTCTTGTTTTTTTTCTGTCCAGGGCCAAATGTGTACAGTACAGTATTTTGGTTCTGGGGGTTTGGACATACACACGCAAGCCTATTAAAACCCTTCGTTCAAAAGGCCCTCTACAGCAGATCAAATGACCGGACAAGACTTTTATTTATGAAACGTCTGTTATTTATGTGGTAGTTGACATCTGTCCTGAAAATAACTTCTAGAATAACTTCGACTGGCTGTCATTGAGTATTGCCCTAAAATGTATTAATAACAACACCCTAGAGTTGTCTTGTTCATGTAAACATGCGTGACAGACTGCAGCATTATTGCTCTAACTCCATGTCACCTCATCTTTCACCTGAAATTAAAACATGGGAAAAGTGATTGATTAGACCTGCAATATCGTTTACCCAGTGGAAATATACAAATTTGCTTTTGTTTTGGGATATAATAATCTTTTGATAAGTGACCATCACACTCTAAGAACACACAATATCTTCTACATTTATATTTTATTCCGAATATTCAGGGATAAAAATGTACAAAAGGATCAGATTGAGATGAGAATGTTATTTGATGTTCAGACCGATGATAACATATTTTCTTTGACATTGTATGACTACATCAGAGCATTCTTACGAGACGGATTGCCACGATCATTTCAGAAATGTGGGTGGCGGCAAATCGTTCATAAGGAACTCACCTTTAATGAGCAAATAGTAACTTACTCACATTTAGTGTCCAAAGAACTAAGTAGCCAAGCAGTCAACATCTGGTTGAGGTAAAACACAATGACAGTTAAAGCAAAGGTAACCAGATAGATAAATGTCTAAAAGCAACACTCAACACCAAAAAATCACGACATCATCGTTGTCTATTGGCGACCTAGTGGTTAGCGCGTCGACCTTACAGTGCAGACAGAGGTACCGGGTTCAATTCCAGCTCCCGGCCTGCCTGCGTGGAGTTTGCGTGCAAACAAAACATGCATGGCAGGCTGATTGAACACTCTAAATTGTCCCTCGGTGTGAGTGTGGATGGTTTTTCGTCTCTGTGTGCCCTGCGATTGGCTGACAACCAGTTCAGGGTGTCCCCCGCGTCCTGCCCGGAGACTGCTGGGATAGGCTCTAGCACCCCCCCCCCCCCCCCCCCCCCCGCGACCCTTGTGAGGATAAGCGGATCGGAAAATGGACGGAAGGATCGTTGTCTATTAAAAAGGAAATTTTTGTGATTTTTAAATGGTATTTTCCATACTTGCTTTTATCTATCTGCCTCAATAACAATTAACATAGAAATATAGTGCGAACAAGAAAATATGAACATTATGTCAGACCCTAAACTTACTACACATCTCAAGGCAGCTTTATGATTTCTGGATATGAAATGGTTGCAAAGCAAAAGTTATTTTTGTATTAGTCTGAAAAGTTGAAAAACAATATGCAAAGTAGTGAGCACAAATTTAGCGCAGAAGCTGAGGTCTGGGTTTGTTCCTAACATTCAAATACTCATGATAGCAAACAAGCTAACATGCTGTAGTTAACAATTGTGTGTTAGCGTAGTCTTGGCCTCAGGGCCCTGTTTCACTGTGTTTTACCCCTAAGCGGCGAGTGGGGAAAAAAAGCAAGCCACAACAGACTTTATGACCACATATAATGTAATAAAATGCTCATAACTTTTGATCCGCAGGCTCTTTGGGCGATATTAAGGACAGCTAATTACCGATTAAGTCCACATTATCCTTTAACGTTTAGATTCCGTCTTAATTCATCATAAACACGTAACAGTTTCACACACTTCATATTGCTTGTCTGGGGGGGCGGGAAATCTGTGCTTTTGTTTGTTTTGTTTTTTTTTGTTTCTTGTCGACTTTTTGGCACCATTAAAAAAAAAAAAGATTGACATACATCTGTCCATTGCATCTGCTGTCTGTGGGATTGGCCCTGTTTACCAGACACCTAATTGAAATTTTGCACCGATTGAAACCAGTAGGCTATGCTGATTAGGGTGATAGCTCATCGTGTCCCTCGATCATTGGTAATTTAACAGTGAAAAGTCATGTTTCAATGAGAACTGTGAGTGCCGAGTTTTAATGAGGCTGAACAATGAAAATGAAAGTTGCCGTCCCGACTATTGCCTTTCAGTTCAGTTCAATTGCCACGATCACGCTTTAACAGTTGTAGTTTGTGTTTGTGCCTTTCAGATTCTCACTTATCTAATGTATTATGTGGTCATGACGACTTTTTGTCTCTGTTCAAGGACAATCTTGGCCAGCACATTTATGACTTGAACTTGTTTTGTTCTGCTACAGCATTGTTATTTAGACTCTTTGCTGATCAAAATTAAGTTGAATCATTCTCGTTTTTCCAAGCTGCGAACCTTATCGTGTTCTGCCCGTCCTGCTCCGCAGTCTTGCCCGCAGCTCATGAAGGATCGCTGCGATGTGCATACGTGTCATAAATCGGAAGCAAGCGCTTACAAGGATAAAAGTTGCACATCTTTTCTTTCTCTGTCTTCGATGAGCGAGTGCCAGAATGGTACAGATGTACGGTCGCTCAGGTCATCTCATTTCGGTGAATGCTGATGATGTCATCAGCCCGTGTCAAGTACAAGTTTGTTTCGTCTCGTTTGTGAAATAAATGGTTAATTGCCGGGCTCTTTGTCATGGCACTTATCTGGTGTTGTCCTTTTATAAGTCAACAATGTGGCCAGAGCAGAAGACAGTTGCACAATTCAAGTAGTAGCACACCGACAAGCGTTACTGTGTTTAATACTGTACTCTACGTTACATTCCGCACACAACTGAGAAGAGGGCGCTTCAACGAAATCTAGGAAGGATTTTTATTGCCTCTGCCTGTCCTATAGAGCTCGTGAGAGAGGCCACTCGAAATCCACGATTGGTGCATCTCTCGCCGCGCAGCTGTGAAAACACGTGTGTATCATATGGCGGGATCCTTTAGAGACTGTCTTTGGGTTGATCAATTCTCGCTGTGTGTCTCGATCGAATTATATTTGTGTGTGAAGGTTTTACAAGTGGCTCTCCCACTCTCTGCCATGACTCATGCCAGATTCCTACTGTGGTATAACCACTGCCATGCTATAGAACAGCTGATTTACACGCAGACGGTGGTTTATTTTTTTATTTTATTTATTTATTTTCCCCACTCCCAAATGCACAGCAAATAATGACTTTGTATATTACATATAGAGTGTTGGTGTCGCAAAGCAGTGTCACTTAGAGGTGGAGATTCATCCAGTGTTTGCCGCTCGGAGGCAGCCACCTCGATCATTCATCACCGCTGTGGATGAGGATCCCCAAATGAACTGGACTCTCATTCTCTCCCGATGTTTTGCTGCTCACGATCTCTCTTTACTCTTCCTTGAGTGCAGGTCCTGTGCTCGCGATCTCCTTGTCTTGCCGAGGACTGCTTCTGCTCTGTTTCAGTCTTCATCTAGCGCCTTTACTCTTCCTTGAGTGCAGGTCCTGTGCTCGCGCTCTCCTTGCCGAGGACTGCTTCTGCTCTGTTTCAGTCTCCATCTAGCGAGTTCGTTTTTGTTTTTTTTTGTTTTTTTTTTTGTGGCTCTGCTCCTCACCTCCGTTCTCTTTGCTTTCCTTGAGGACTTCCTTTCTCTCTGCATCCTTGTTTCACTCGGTGTGATTTAAGGAGACATGTACAGAGTTCATTTGACCGTAAGCCTTTTCAAGCTAGCTAGCTAGCTAGCTATTTGTTTGTTTATTTATTTAAATAGAACAGTCGTTATGTACGTTGTCGATGAGACGTGCAAGCAGATCTAGAAGGGATGCTTCTAAGTGCACTCTAAGTGAGCATCTCTCGCTGTTTTGGAAAACACTTCTATTTGACCTTCCCGTTGATTTCCTGAAGAAAAAAAAAATATTGAATGAATGCGCACATTGTTTTATTGGAATGTCATAATAGAGAGTGAATAATTATCCACCAAATATTGTCACAGAAATGCTGGCTCAAAATTGTTTCTGTTGCGAAAGCAAATCACAATTGGGCTGACTGTTTATTTGACAAGTACTTTTCTAGCCTCCCTATCTTTGCTTTGAACAGAAAGGAGTTAAATTAGTGAATAAGCTGCTGGGGCCAGACGGACTCGCAGGCCCGTGACTTACGAACAAACCAGTGAACGGGCCCCTTTCGCGTGGCATTTATTGCCTATTCGCGGAAGCCAGACTTTCAGTCGCACACGCCAGCAGCATGATTTTCTATTCACCCTCTATATATGTCATTTAGACGCCTTTTGTCAGAGTTGTAAAGTCATTGGCTTTTTTTTTTTCTGGGGCCACTCGAGCCACAACAAAAGTCTCTTGGTGAAGGGGACATTGAGCTACCAGTAAGTGTTTTCACGCGATTCACACGCTCAAAGTAGGCTCAGGTGTGTCAATTCAGCCACAAATGAATGCCACTCAGCACCCTGAGAGGCAGCCCACCACAGAGGCCTTGTTACATGGCCATTGAGTAATGGTCCTTATCCCTTCCGGGCCCCCGTCGACGAGGTTTCGAGGGCCCTTGACAGCCTTCGAGCAGTACAAATTGGAGTGAGGCTCGGCTCTTGCGTTCTCTCCCTTTGCTTAACTCATCATACCCTCCCCCCCTCCCGTCCCTGACAAGCAATCTCTTCATTAACCTCCGCAAATTAGGAGGTTTTTGGTTTCTCTGTGCTTGTGAGGTATGAACCAGCGATTTTATAATCAGGATTCACTTCTTTTGCTTGTCTTCGAAAAACACTACATTGTCTTCAAACGTCGCATCCAACAGAATTCAGGTGCAACGCGCTCAGTCATAAAAAAAAAAAAAAAAAAAAAAAAAAAGTTGACTCAATGGAAATTTGATTTGACAGCAGGTAACCTTTGGATCACTACTTTGGCCTCTCCTTATCAGCATGTACTTCAGGATGAATGAAGCCAAGTGTTAGATAGCCGTCCCTATTTTTATTTGCAGGGTTTACTCGTCAGTTTGCCTTGAATATAATTTTTGTTTTTTCCGGTCTGTATGTGCATGAACATAGTTGCGGTATTTCCCGATACACGTATTCGCGTGTGATTATACAGGCAACAAATGGAACGTTATGCACTGCTAATCAATCCTTCCCCTTCTATTTTGTGTCTTTGTATGTTTGATCTGTGAGCGCGGATGTTAAGCGCTTGCTTCTTGACAACTTGTACCCTGACAGTGACATTTCCCCTGTGCGTAGATATGCCGATATTTGGCCAGTATCCTGCGCAAGACGACTTCTACCTGGTGATGTGCAGCCACTGTAGTCAAGTAATCAAGCCCCAAGCCTTCCAAGCACATTACGGTAAGCTTTGCCGACAAATATTCTGTCAACAGCAACACTTTTTTATCCCCCCTTTATCCCGACACATTCTTCAGGTAGACACTTTGGGCGGTTTTTCACATCCGGCAGTGATGTTTTATTCAAAAGGAATGCGAGACAGCGACAATAAATTTGGCAAGAATGAAATAGTCAGCTTTTGCGTGCCGCTGCCGCCAGAGCATCGCTGGTGGGGACGTTTCTCACAGCGGTACGGTTTGTGGTGTCTCCCCCCCCCACCCCCGCTTTCCTCACACCATGTCCCCAACCACTTTGCCTCCTTAACGCAGAAACCTGAGAGCAGGCACCACCAACTTTGATTTATTTACTTAACGCTCTGTCGCGTGTGCGTGCGTACGTGCCTGCATGTGTATCCAAATCCCTTGTTAATATTTGATACGGTTCTCGCTTCAACACCGCTCCATTTTTTCCAAGTTTGTTATTCTATAACTGGTGTATGTTTCAAGCGCTTTGTCTGTTTGAGAGTTATCAATGATGATTATCGATGATCTAGAAGTGTTAGATACTTGTGATGGGTTGAGCACTAAAAAAAAAAAAAAAACGTGTGTAGGATACTACGGAGACATTGTAGGACATTTTATGAAGTCGTTTGAAGTGAGAGGACAAACAAGCCGGCGAACGGTGGTGGTTTTCCTCGAATCTTGGTAAAACCTTGGCTGGCACCGCGTCGTGGAGAGGGCCTCAATATTTTGGGTGTTTGGGCTTCTTGATTGCAGCCGAGCAAGAAGTCACTTGGGTTGCGCAAGCACCAAGCAAGCTCGGGTTTCCATGGCATTGCAAGAACACTTTGCATGTTCTTGAACCCCGATTCCAAGCGAATGCCCCATTATTTAGTTCTTTACTTTGCTACCGACTTATACACGTGTTTGACAGACTGGCAATTTTATGACAGAAATATTGCATTTCTTTTTGCTGTTCCAAAACTAAGGATTCCCCCAGTTAGCACTGAGCCAATAACATTTTGACGTTGGTGAAAAAGGACGACCGGTACTCCTGTTTCTAGGAGTGGGGGCAGCAGGGGTTGTCTTTGACTTTTGCTGGTGTTAAGTTTTTCTATCAATATTTGCGATTGTGTTTGGAGAGTGTGTGTGGTGGGGGTGGGGGGGGGCGTTCCCTGGGAAGTTCGTGCGCTGTGACTGGGCTCGAAGAAGGCGACAGAGAGAATGGGTTGGGGGCAGGGGGAGTGATGGAGAGCAGGAGCGGAAGAAAGCCATTATTCTGCCCTTGCAAAGTAGGTGGGTAGCTTTGCTCTGGATGTGACACTTGTTCTTGATATTGTGATGTTTTTTTTTTTTCCTTATTTCTTAGCGAAACCACGATATGGCCATGATGTTTGCATACAAGTTTCATGTTGCTGCTTTGTGGCGCGGGTCTCCGGATAGTTTTTCTTACAATGAGCCATACAAAAAGGGCTTGTTTGTTGTGTCTTAAGGGACGAGATTGCTGTCTGTTTCTACCACACATCATGGCTTTAAGGGTTTTTATTTGTTCAATGTGCCGACTCAAATGGGGTGGGGGGGGGGGCTTTTCCAAACTGTTCCCCAAAAGTTGGAAGTTTTGAGTCAAAGAATCCAGATTGACAGAGAGCAGAGAAAAAGTGCTTGCAACAAGCCTCGTGCCGGATTTTCATCACTCGCTCGTGTTTATGAGTCGGACACACAAATGTTATTTCGCCAAAAACCGAGGTTAAAGGTCATATTACAGTTTAAATCACCAGCAGCCAGCCTTGACCGTTGCATTTGAATGCGTGTCCATGTGCATTCATTCCGATTCCCAGCTATTATATCGATTGAGCACGGCGTACACGTACTCGGGCCTGATTTTTGCAACCTGCCTTTTAGGCATGCACAATAGAGACGCAAAATCAGCCTGGGCCATTTGATAAATCGCAATGTGCTTGCCTAATTCGTCAATTTACATACACCTCCCACAATGTGCAAAAAGAAGCGCGTAGCATTTTGGGCGCATTTGGCCACTGCCATCCTGGGTTTGTATCCACTGAGTAGATCAGCTCCCGCGTCTCGTCTTGTGCACCAAACAAAGTTGTGCTCTTTTTTGCAGGCACAAATTTTTGATAAATCATAGTTTGCCGTGTGAGTTTAACCCTTGCAGGGACAGCCGTTACTACAGCGGACAGCTTATCATGTTATCAGGTTACAGGGTGCATGAAAGGGTTCATATCCAGTCCAGGCACATGCACCGATTTAGTCATTAATTGACTCTGCATTTTTCATTTCATTTTCTTGTGACTACATTGGAACTTTTTTTTTTTTTTTTTGCGCTATTCTGTGCTGTGATGCTGGTCAACCGGTTTGTTTGGATTTGGACAATCTAATCTTCCTACGGAAAATAATATAGAGGGAAAACAATCTGTTCCACATTTAGACTTTAGCCATAAAAAGACACGACTGCACAGCCCGTTTCTAAGTTACATTTGAACCTTTTTAACTCCCCTGTAAGTGTAAAAATAAAAATGAAGACATTTTCAATCTCAAAATGTAAAGAGAAGCGTTAACAAATGAAAAAGGCCCAAAGCTTGGGTGACATTTTTGCAGATGCACATCTCAGCGTCGCGAAGGATTGCGCTGGCAAACAATTATTTTAGTATCATATATGAGACGACAATGAGTCTTTTTAAAATGATTTTCAACAGTAGGTTCTAATTTTTTTCTCTCTCTCTCTGTCTCTCTCTTTCTGAGTTCTGCCATTGACGAGTTGGTAATATCCTCACTATTTTCGCTCTCTTTGGCAGTGCCTTTCATCATGTTGTTCTGAGAAGCTCAGGCATGAAAATGAAGCTCTTGACCTATCGGTTGTTTGTATTTTAAGGCTGAGTTTGCATGGATCACAAATGCGGCTTCGTATTGTCAGTGCGGGCTTTTTTTTTTTTTTTTTTTTTTTTTTTTATGTCTGATAACGGTCTGCCTTTCTCCTTGGCTGCGGAAAGATGAGCGTTCAATCAAAGCCGTAGATCATCGTCATGCGTCAGGACAAATCTGCGACACCGCGCACCCGTTAGTGCTCATTATTTCTTGATTTATTCATACTGAAATCACGCGGAGTTGCGAAAGGATGTTTCATTCGTGTCTTTCCTGTATTTCGAAGCTCTGCTCTCTGTATTCTCTTCCAAGTCCCCCCCCCTTTTTTTTGTGGGGGGGGGGGGTTACATTTTTTGTGTTTATCGCCATCCACTCTTTTTATTTTTTTATTTTAGATGGCTTGCGCTCACGAGGGTCATGGGTAATTCCCGCCATTCCGGCTGACTTTGGGAGAGGGTTGTTGTACGCCGGTCACGGGACAGCTACAAACAAGCAACCGTTCATTCTTACGTTGACCCTTTTTGACAATTTAGTCTTCAATCAACCAGAACTGCATTGCCGAAGTTCTCAAAAGGTTACGATGAAAATGGATTGTTTACCAGACTGCTTTGTGCTGTTTCTCCAGAGAGAAGACATAATTCTGCCGTCAAGTCGGCATCCACCTCGCCCTTCACTTTGTCGGGAAGGAACAGGAACAGTGCTAGCAGTGGTCTCGGACCTGGACTTGCCTCAGGGTCTCTCGCTGGAGTGACAAGCGGAGGGATTGTTAGCCGAACCGCTACCGCTGGATCTAACTTCTCTTCCTCCGCAACGTCGTCCTCCTCCTCCTCCTCTTCCTCCGCCAATCCCAAACTACTCAAACCAGCCAAAGACAAGGTGTCGGGCATCCAGCGAAGACCTCCTTTTGCCCCGTTCAGGATGCTGCAGCCGGACAAGATGTAAGTTTGAGAAACACCGGTTGGGGTGCGGTGCGAAGGTTGCGCAATATCATCTTGGTAATATCTGTACTTGACATGCTGTACATCGCTGATAAGAAATAAGTGTATTAAGTGACCTTAAGATGCAAACATCATTTTAAAAAACAAAAAGCTTAAGTTGAATTTACTCCTCTCCCATGCGGGGGGAGAAGTAATCGAGATGAAATATATTACGTGACATGAAATCATTAGTTTCATTTTAAGCTTGTTACTTCTGTGCGGGAGCAGTCCAATGCAATTTCTACTTCCTGTCTACCTAACACGATGTTCTGCTATGATTATTCCTCTTGTCTCGGCCTTCTTTTCAGCTTGTCATAACTGTGTTGTCGTGGGCATGTCCCATGGAACACCACCCTCATGTTTATGAATAACGAATCATGAAATGTGTTTTTTGTCCTTGCAGCTCCACCCACATGTGCACATTTGTCTCGTATCATGCGTTTCTCACCGGCTCGATGTTTCTAACGCTCAGCTTCCTCCTTGCGGCCCTCTTCATTTCTGTCACCTTCTCTTCCAGCCTCACCCCGGCTGTCAAGGTGGAGAAGATGCACCTGAATCCGGACTCGTCAGCTAAGCTGGTGCAGGTCCCCTCTGCTCCCGCCACCACCTCATCCTCCTCCTCCTCTACATCCTCCTCTAGCACCACTGTGAGCTCCACCACTACCACCATCACCACCTCCTCATCCTCAGCCCTTAAACCAGGCCTTAACTGTCCCTCCATACCAAAGCCTCCCTTACTGGCCCCGGGTCAGATCCCCAACGGCAAAGGCCACCTGTCAATTCTCTCGGACAAGAAGCAGGACGGCAGCAACAGCAGCAGTGCCAGTAGCAGGCGCCACCTGAACAAGAAAGTGACAGGTCAGCTGGGAGAAGGGATACACTCACCATCATTTTTCCTTCCACTCTCTTCATCACTTATTGTTTTCACTCCTCCTTCTCCCCCTTCAGAGCGTGAGTTCAATCCAGACATTCACTGTGGCGTTGTGGATGTGACAGCTCGGAAAACCTGCACAAGATCCCTAACATGCAAGGTGACTGCTTTCACTTGATTGTGCCGTTTGCTTGGTGTGTCATTTCAGATCCGTTTGTTAATATTCACGTGATCACTGGGAGGTCCTGCCTTGGACAAAAACAAACATTTTTAAAGAACGATGCAGTCGTCCGGTAGTTTTGACAAATACCTCATATCTGCAGTCATTCAGAAAAGTCTTTATACCCCAGTTTGTATTCTCGATTTTGGTGGTATTGAAAAAATGACGTCCAATGCCAAAATGGAAATATTACAATTAAGCAGATGACTCCGCCTGTTTTCAGCCACCTCACGAGCCCGATATTTTCCCCAGCGCCGCCCCTGTTGTCGACTGAAATTGATGTCAAGGCGTCAGTCTCACATTGTGAATGTCACACCTGGCTCCGGTCACATGACGTTTGTTGCAACGTGAGCCGAAGGGCACTTGGATGTCAAATTCAGTCAACAGCAGAGGGCGATGGCCGAAAACGTGCCGACTAAGCTACTTATTCCGTATTCCAAGAACACAATATTCACGCGCCGGCTAGCCTAACCGCGTAAATACTCAAAACTAAACATGGTTATTTTCTCAAACAAGATATCTACCCTTTGTTTTGCCACATCAGACACATTCCTTGAGCCAGCGGCGGGCAGTGCCAGGGCGGAGGAAGCGCTTTGACACATTGCTGGCAGAGCACAAGAACAGAACAAAGGAGCGGGAGAGAGAGCTCCACCAAACCCATTCCCAACAGCCTCCCCCTCTCAGGGACCCGCACCCCTCCCTCCATCTTCCCACTTCTTACGATGTCCATCCGGTGGCTCATGGCAACGGCCCCGCCCCAGAGGCCACCAAGATTCTGCCATCCAACAAACCCAAATTTGTCATCCCTGGTCTTCCACGGTCAGTGATGCTATGATGTTGTTGACTTATTTTGTTTATTTTGATTCGGTGACACCAAACAGATGAGCGTCAACCCCAAATAAGACGACGTTCGTTGGAAACTGAACGGTTCTTTTTGTGACAAGATGAGAATCGCTCGGGTGCTCTCTGTCCAACAGATTAAACAACATACACGGGCCTGGTACCCCAGCGGACCCTGCAATAGTCCACGAGTCACCGCACCATCCCCAAAGTACTCCGGATGGGCTTTCTCGAGCCTCCAGTGATGAGGGCGAGAATGAGGAGCGTGAGGAGAACGCTGAGAAAATGCACTGTCACTATTCAGGTTATCACCCTCGACCGGTAGCTGTAAGTGGGTTTTTTTTTTTCTTTCCATTTCTTCAATGCATCATTTTCAACTGAGCAAATCTTGGCCACTGTTTGTACCGACAATTAATTACAACTCTGTTTTCAGTACTGTAATTTTGGAAGTCGACTGTTTGGGAGAGGCTGTTACTCCTTTGACAGGCGATGGGACAGAATGCGATACGTCCTCTCTGCAATGATGGACAAGCACGTCAACTCTCAGATGTGGAAGTAAGTATGAAACTTGTATGAATCGAGTTCACCTGCAAATCCTACAAAATGCCTTTCAGTAAATGAATGGATCGATTGGCTCATCGTGGTCACGTGATCACAACAAGCTTGTACGCAGTCTGTGATGGGCGGTCTGTGGGAGAAAAGAAATGCTTGATAGTTCACAATCCATTGTCGGTCTGCACATGGCCTTGACTCGGTCCGGACCACAGTCTCCCCCATTTGAAGAGACCCGATTTAGCGGCTGTGTATCTGAAACTCTCATTTTTGCTCACAGCACTCCTTAGTCAAGCTACCGCTGCAATAACAGACATAACTTGATTTCCGGAGCAACTTTCAAAACCACCTTACAAGGTACTTTGTGGTTTCTCTGTTTTAGGAAAATCCCCTTGGCCTTGGAGAACAGCGCTTCCTTTGCACCTCCCCATAGGACAAGCACAAACTCCCCCAGTAGCACCCCGTCTTCAGGCTTCCTGTGCCCCCCTGCCACCATGCCCCAGACGCCCTACAGCCAATCCTTTGAAGGCAAGCCCGTGCTCTCCTATGGGACCACCTTAAACGCCCGCAGCTCTCCGCAGGGAGGGCCTGAGCACCCGGCCTACGGCACCACACAGGCCCGACAAGTGTCTTCGTCGCCGCAGATGCCTTCAGCCCACTTGTCTTCATCCACCTCCCCTTTAGCTCCTTCACTCGCCTCAGGCCGGGCGCTTAAGTCCCGTCCCTCCAGCAGCAGCAGCAGCAGCACGACCAAGTCATTGTCCGTCAGGCCCAAGGAGATCTCCGCTGGCTCCTCCACACCCGTCACCCCCACCTCAGTCGGCGTGGCCAGTAACAGTAGCAGCACCAGCTTCAGCTCGGGAAAGAAGAGGAAGAACAGCTCTATCCTCTCATCGTCCCATAGCTCCTCAGAACCCGCTAATGCTAACTATACTCCCTCGTCCTCTTTGAAGAAAAACTGTGCAAACGTCGGCAGCTCAGGGAGCACCTACCACCACCACGGCTCACTCGGTTCCTCGTCCTCATCCTCTTCGCTATCTTCCTCCCACAGCGGCGTCCACAGCGTGGGCCTCAACTGTGGCCCCAGCGTGCGCACGAACTCTCTCAGCCTCAAGGCCGAGCTTTCCGCGGGCTCGGTAGGCGGCTCCTCGGGCCCGCCGGCGCGAGGCCCCCCCTCGGGCAGCCCCGCCGAGTCCATCAAGCGTATGAGTGTGGTGATGAACAGCAGTGACTCCACCCTCTCCCTGGGGCCTTTCGTCCACCACCAGTCCTCCGCCGACCACCACACCGGCTTCGGCCACCACTCCTCAGACGGGCGCCTGGAAGGCAAGAAGCGCAAAAGCTCCCCTGCCTCCGGCGGCATAAATAGCGGCGCCGGGGGAGGTGGACTCGGGCCAGGTGGGGGTCCTGGACCCGGTCGACCCAAGGTGCCCAAGTCGCCTGCCATCAACAATATCCACGGCAAGCACGGGCGGAACATTCCAGGGACGCCGGGGCTACCGAACAACTCTCATTTACATCAGGTGGGTTGTCGACCAGTCGGGCTCAGAAACGAAGCATGCGCAAAAGTGTTTTGGTAACATCAAAGGTATTATTTCATACGTACCCTTTTACATAATAATACGTACCCTTTTACATAGGGACGCTTTTTCCAATTTTTTTTGCTTCACTCAATTCTTAACAGGTGTTTCCTGGCTCAGTTAGAATTGGTATTTAAACGGTCGTCTTGGCCACGCTATTCACATTTTGACAACATAAGACCAAGTTGACGTCTTAACAAAGGATGAACAGCAGCTCACTATTGCGAGGCCGCTCGGCTTCGAGCTGTTTCCCAACCAGGGTTAGAGATACGCGGGCACGAAGCGGGGGCTACGTGGAAATATTTTCAGTCATTTCGTAAGCCTGTTAGCAAAATGGTAAACATCCGGTGGGCTCCCGCTTGTTTCCCCGGGGAGACATTAACCTGCCGCACAGCTCAAGTGGCTCATTCAACCGCAGATGACTGCTAAAAAGCTGCGATAGTTGATTTGACGATTATTCTTGTGATTTTTGTTTTCCAGATATTTAAAATCAATGCCTATTTAAAGGGTACTTTTTCAAGATTTTTTTTTGGGGGGTGGGTCAGAGTTATACATTTTAGAAACAGCATCATTTGTCATTTTCCGGGCAGCATTGTTTATTTTTATGTTTAACAGGAGTTAACAGAAAAAAAAAGAAGACAAAGCCTGAGGATGAAATTAAAATTAAGGGGACAACATTAAATGACTGATTTAATAGTCAGTTGTGTTATGTTCTACTTGAGGAGAATTATCAGCATGTGTGAGTTGGGCTACTCGTGGTATGACCAAAAGGTTCAGGGAACACAAGACGAAAGCATTTCGGAAATCAAAACAGGTGAATTTCGCCTTTGGGGTTCTTGTGAGAGAGCATCAAGTTGTGTCGAAAGTCGTGAAACACTGAGAAGTTGGACCTGTGCAGTCAAAACGTTCGACAAGATTCATTCAAAATCATCTGGAAAGTTTCGAGTGTAGCATTGGTTCATCCAATAATCTTCACCCAAAAGCCGATTAGCCCTCATTTTTTTGTGAGTATGCGTCTCGCTCAGAAGGAGTCGAATGATATTTCAGCCGGGTCAAAAGATGCGCTGACACCTTTTCTCCCCCCATGCAGCCAAAGGCCCGTCCCTGACAGTGGTGTCAGCCCGCCGAGTGTGTGGATGCGGCCCGATGACGGGGAATCGTCCGGAGCACCCCGCTCTGGACTGTAAGAGGCCTTCTCAAACGAAAACCCACAATACTCTCAGTTTCCCGCAATCCTCAGGTTGGAGATGATCTGGACTGCCCGGTCAAGTCAAAATGTCCGTACTCTTTCTCCCAAAGCCATGTCTGTCGGAGGGGGCGGTGGGGACAAGGGGTGCTCGGTGGGGACACGTCCACTTTGCGGACCTCCGCTCGCGTGGCCTTGTCCCGGTATTCCGAACGGTCTTCCAGAGACGCTCCCAGCGCGGGAGGAAGGAGAGACGACAGCCATGAGTCTCCAGGGTGCACTTTGGTTCCGGTTAAGGGCTGCTCTGAGCTCTGCGGCCGCGAGCTGTCATAACGCTGAGCAAGTGGGGAGACGACTAGCCGATCTCTTCCTTGTGCGTGCGTGTTTGAGCCTTTTGAGCATTTATTCAATGTCCTACTAATGCGTTGAACTGTCCCATGTCCTCATACGCTTTTTGTCCTCACTGGTGAGACAATTCAGCACAGGAGCAGAACGACTGCCGTCTCTGCCTGGACATTTCTGCACGCGTGTCGAACAAAATATTCTAGTAGTGAGGCAAAACTGCACTCGTTGACATCCGCGCACCACTACTACTGCCACTAGAGAAGCGTGAGTAGTTAATGATTCGAATTTTGTCATGTCCCTAGTGCCGTATTTTCCACACTAAAAGGCGCACTGGATGATGAGGCGCACCTTCAATGAATGGCCTGTTTTGTCATTTTTTTCATGTATTGGACACACCGTATTATAAGACGCAATCTACAATGCATCCACTAGATATAGCTACGCTCAAGGAAATGCCAACAGAACACTAGACTACACTACACCCTGATCTATATAGCGACGATCAGATGTCAGTATAATGTATTTAATAAAGCAGCGACACAGTTCACTTAACCAACTGCAAGTTATAACATGACTCGTTAACGATTAACTCTCGTCGCTTCTACTCGTCAACCTCTCGCACTTTTCGTAGAACTAGTGCGCGGATGTCAGTGCAGTTTTTGCATCTTGACAAACAGGCAGGTGACAAGAGAACCGAATCACGGCGGTCGACACACTTTTCCCGCATTTTGTAATTCGATACAAGAAAACCTTTGGCGATGATTCTTTGAACCGATTTCGAATCTGAAAACGTCAGAGCTGGAAATGACAACGCACGGTCAAATCCGTAGTGCGCCAGCTTTCGGGAACGCTAACGCACAGCGAGCCGCCTCTGATTCAAATTTGCTGTCGACCGGTGTCACCATTGAGGACAAAGCGCTTACCGATACACGAACAAGTCGGCGGATAAATCCTCAAACAGCTTTTTATGTGTGTGAAAAAGATGAGCGCGTGTTGAAGAGTGTTTTGCTCATGTCAGATTCTGCTCGACTACTGGAATTTGCGACTCGATTTTAGCCCCCCGCCGCCTGATCTCAGAAGCCTCGGAAAGAGAGCAGGAGGAGCGGCAAACACGCCCGCTCCGCCTTCACGCGATCACCTTAATCATTTCGTGCTTCTTCAAGTCGGACTCGGCTCGCTCATTTTTGGGGGCTGCGTGCGGTCGCTTGAAAAGGGGACAACCCTGTCCATGTTTTTATTTTAGTGCCCCGCAGAATTATGCAAGTGTGACCTTATTCCACTTTTTCTTACGAGCTTTTACACTGTACTACAAAGAGTCTTCGTCGATATGCTCGAGGACGGTTGCGCTTTCAAATTGGGGAAACGGGTCACCCGGCTCGCCCGTCCGTCTTTTGTTCGATGGGACGCATTTGAAGCGAATTTCAGAATCTTGTCCATGTGCAGAATGCTCGCCACAGTAGAGCCGCTTCCCAACTGTGAACCGAACTCAACTTCTCGCTTGCACAGGCAATGGCTTGTTTGAGAACGAGGCTCGCCCAAAGCCGCTACCTTTTGTGTCTTCGGCCAACTTTGAAGCGGTTGAAGGCGCGTGTGGATGTCAAGAATCGGTGCAAAATCTTTTCTCGAAGTATCACAATTACTGTGGGAGATCCACAACTGCCTGTGGACCGATGTGGGTTGTTTTGGGTTTTATTATTTTATTTTTTTGCTCCCCTCCTCCCTTCTGTCTTGCATAGGAAATCAGGTATGGTACGTCTTAACTGGAGCAGACTTTTATGCACGTCAACTGTCCTCTGTGGCTGTTTTGTCCCTCGTCCCTGGATGTTGAGTTGTGGCGCATCGCACGGCCGATGTCGGGTGCGAAGCCTCATACCTTGAATCCCCCAACACCCCACCGAGTCGAAAATGGAGTCTTAAATCAGGCGGTACTCCCCAGTCTCGGTGGGATTTTTGCTTCTTTTGAGCAGTTTCAAGATGGCTTTGTGGCGTGAGATTCATGCAGATGGCTTCACACAAGGACGTATTTCAAAACATTTGACAGCACCAGTTGATATCTGGAAACCTCCACTGATGTCAGTCAAGAGTGGAAAGTGGATTTTTATTAAACACCTTTAGTTTGCCCTGCCCCCACCACTCCTATAGCTTATGTAGTTAAAGAACTACCCCTATTTGGGGGAAAAAAATATTTTGTTAACAAATTGTACATAAATGAAATGTGTATTTTTGCACAGGCTTTTTTTTTTTTTTGTACGTGCAGGAATTTTTGGGTACCATTTTGAAGAGTCATTATTTATTTAGGAAGCCAGAAGAGAAGCCGGAATTTGATTATTTAAAGTGTTTCACTGCCAAGTCTATATAATGCAATACGTGGAGATATATATAAATATATATAAATGTATAGAAGCCTCTCATGAATCATGGACTGAGGGTCCCTGAAGGGACAAAGGTGAAGTGTTTTCCCACTGTAGCATGTGTCTGTTGGACAGCGAATACCTTTATTCACTTTTCAAGGTCTCAAATCACACGTGCTTTTACAACACAAATTTTGTTGCCTCTGAATCAAACACGACTAATGTACCTGTGTGGCCCAATCAGCCTGTGACCGTCTCGTGCGCCGCAGGCTTTGTCTCAATGGACCCGCCAGTCATACACTTGACCTTAAACACGTTTCTTGGTTGTTGTTTTAGGGCTCTGAAGGGACGAATCGTTTTTTTGTTTTGTTTTGGGGATTTTTTTTTTGCATAGCCATTGCCAAACAAGTAATTTGAATCACAGCTTTTTCAAAGAAATATCCAATTAAGAAAGTGCCTGAATTTGTTTCACCCTAACTGTTTGAGGACAGTGTTGTTGGGTTATTTTAGTTACCTTACTTGAATGTTCAAAGTGTTTAAATCTGCCTATGAACCCTAAGTGTGGTTTAAAAAAAAAAATTGAGCTTGCCAGCTGCCCGATATCAAACCGTTGTAATGTGTGTGTTCAGTGAGACTGACAAAATGCTAACATTTCCATTCATCGTGCGCGGGCGTGTGTGTGTGTGTGTGTGTGTGTGTGTGTGTGTGTGTGTGTGTGTGTGTGTGTGTGTGTGTGTGTGTGTGCGTGTGTGTGTGTGTGTGTGTGTGTGGCTGCAGCCTCTGGCTGACTGGGCGTCGAACACCACAACATTCAATCTGGTCCTTTGTTTACCTTTAAACTCCACTGACATCTCAACTGAAGTTTCAAGAAGGTGGAAACATGAGGATTTTTTTTGTTTTTTTACTAGAACCATAGACTTGGAATGTGAACGCAAGAGTACAGCTAATGTCTGGGGGACGAGACCACCCTTCATACGACAAAAAGCCTGTAGAGTTTTTTTTTTTTTGGGGGCGGGTGCGCATCAAATCATTTTCAGCTAGACTTTGTGTATTGGCTGCTATGTAATTCATGAACAAAACATAGGTTAGAAGTAATATTTAAAGAAAAAAAAAGATTGTATAGTATATTTGTTTTGTAACAAGTTCTGTAAATAAAATAATTTATACTATTTATACAAATCAATGTCTCTTGCCTCTTCCCTGTAAATTCCAAAACACCCATGTCAACAGCTCAAACATTTTATTATGTACACAAACGAATTTGTCAAACAAAGTACAGGTGTAAGAAAAGCAAAGCTGAGCGATCCACCTCGCCGACCTGACAAAACGTGGCCACCATGTTTTACATGTTGATAACTCGTGACAATTTCTGGACTCTGTTGAGCAGCAGGTCACCCTTCTTGATGGTCTCCTGGTACTGCCAGTTTTTACTATCAGGTCTGGTAGAAGAATAACAAATGCAACGATTTCGTTCTTTTAGTTACGGGCCAGCAATACTGCGGTCTGATGAACGGTGACCTTACCTGTTGGTTTCCACAATCTCGTTCACTTTATCAATTTTGCAGTGGAGACGGCCAGCGGCGATGAATCGGGACAGCTCCCTTGAGGTACAAGACGAGCGGGTTAATGGAGCTGTGTTCGCTTACATACATGTTCTCAGGCCAGTACCGGGGTTCTATAAATTATGTTCCACTGTGCCAATAAAACAAACACATAAAAATTGCAGAAACAATAACATCTGGACATAAATGCAATACTTGATTGAGGTGAGAACTAGTTGGGGGAAACCTGCTGAACAGTACACAGATCACTCACTGGTCGATGAACTCCGTGCTGACGCCAAAGGCCTCGGCCATGTAGCCCAGCGTGAGTGAGCGGTACGACTCCAGCAACTGGCTGTAGGCCTGGATCCTCATCTCCCTCACGTAGTAGCGGTAGTGTGGGGCGAAGAGCCAGTCCTTCTTCATCTCCTGCTCCACGGTTGCTATGGGAAGGGGAAAGAAAGACAACGGAGGTGAGCTTCAATGACACACAGATTTTCATTATTGGCGGAAGGGCTCGGTCTAATGATGGACCGCCATGAAGCTCTCCGATCAACAGCTAATGCGACGGACAAGGTGAAACGTCCTCACCGAGAGATTGAAAGAAGACCGAGTAGCGGCACTCGTAGAGGGAAAACAAATACTGGCGAACAGCTGGCAGACTGTGCAGCACTTCCAGGATCTCTGCTCCTTTTATTACCTGAAAAACAAAACGCATTATTGTCATGCAGCCAGCACCGTAATGGACATTAGTGAGCCTTTGATGCCCTCATTAATAGAAAACGCTGCCACGGATTATTGATTTAGAAATGCGGACCGCTAAAAAAAGCTCCCTCTGCAGCTTGTTTGCGAACGCACGCGTGGGCTTTTTTTTGTACCCTTTCACGAAGGTCGGGACGCTTGAGGGCAATCATGCACACGTAGACTGTATAGGTGACAAAAGTCTTGTAGTCCATGAGCTCGTACGACGTGAAGGTGGAAACGGTGTCGAGGAAGAGCTCAGCGGCTTGCTTGAAATCCCTGATGGCAACGCAGTACAGACCCTGGTAGACCTTCAGCCGATTCCTCCTATCCCAGTCTCCCCCCTCTTCAATGAGGCTGCAGGAAAGACAGGGTGACGCATAAGGGCAGTCCGTGCCTCGCACCGTACAGTGCAAAGATAAGGCTCGATGCTTCTGACCGCCATTACCTTTTGGCCTTCTCGGAGTTGCGCGTGATGAGGTCACTGTCCATGTAGAAGAGGCCGATCCTCAACAGGTAGAAGACGATGTCTAGTCTGTGACCCAGAGCCACTGTTTTGTCATAGGTCTTTCTGAATGCTGTTAAGGCCCCCTCCTGTGGACACGCATGGCAAAAGCATATTTCTTGAAGTGGATCAGTGGAACTAAAGCAACATTTTCAATTAGAATCACAGAACGCGGATAAGATTTTCAAACTCATACGGCCTGCTACTCATTCTCTTCTCTTCACATGGGTAAGCACTGCTTTCCCAACCCATAAATCGAAAACATTTCAAGTTCTTTGAAATGTAATTTTTAATAGGTAAACAGTTCTTGTGTTAGACCTATTTCTGTTGTAGCCAAAGTCGTGAGCAGTGACCGGATACTCTGACGACAGTATATGAACAAGTTACCTTATCGCCGATCCTGATCAGATATTCAGCTTTGGCCATCATAGCATCCCTGATCTCACTCTCCCCGAGGTTCTTCTCTGCATCCTCCAGCACGTCGTCGAGGCGCTTTAACTCCTCTTCGTTTGCCTTCTTCATCTTGCTCAGCAGGTCACCGTCTAGTTGCCACTTGAGCTCCTTACATAAGGTTTCATAGTAGGGGGCCATGTCTAGAGCACAGACACAAATTATAAGAACGGTAAAAGCACTATGCACCAAAAGTCAGTGATATGAATGTTTTTAGTTCAAGTTCAGGATGAACCTTGCATAAGTGAACCTTTGTCCGTCGCTAAACTTTTTAATGCACATGTTTACACAAATATTCAAACTTATGTTTTTATGAGTATGGTTCATCAAAATCTGTCACTGCTTTGTTGGTTGGGCACAAAATATGACACGTCAATCTGATTAAATTGACAATAAAACATTTGCTATATTTATGACAACCCATGCTGAGGACGATGGGCGTTCGTTTGCGTGAATTAGCCAGCAACTCGATAGCACATCGGTTTTATGAACGAGCTCCCTCATACACATTCTTTTACGCATATTCATTTTGTGGGGCGACAATAAACGTAAAGATAAAGCAGTCATATGCTAACTCACTGTTAGCTTTGACAGCGTCCATGAGCTCCGTCTTCACTTTAGCATCTTGTCGGTGACCGTCCATTGTGAGCAAAAATTTGAGCTGTGCTATCCTCAGGTCAGGGTTCTTGGGCAGGCCCTCTTCCTCCAAATTCTCGAGCGGCATGTTTCGTCGCAAGTATAGACGCGAGGACGATCAAGAAAAGCTGAGCGAAATTGTTGGATTTGGGCTAATCAACGATGACTACGGCAAACAGCGTAGTGTTGTTTCCGCCTGAGCGTCACTCGACGAGAAAAGAAAAGAGGGGAAGTCTTTGCCATTATAACTACCATATTTATAGTTTACTGCCATCTGATGGACAAAACTAGGGACCACATCTCGGTGTAGAATGCTCTGTCTTGAGTAAATAATTTGTTTGCCTTTTTTTATACATTAGTGTTTAACAGTCTAAAGTTCACCAATTTAGTAACTTTATTGATTCGGCCCACTGTCTACCAATTGGTGGCCCCCAAACTGTTCAGGCCATTTCACACTACCGCAAAAACTGTTGTGTGTGTGTTTTGGTTGGGTAAGTAGCATGTGTATATCACGACTTGTTGCCATGCCAAAGGTACACGGACAGCCCATAACTGAGTCACTCAGAGTTCGCTGCTGCAAGTGCAATTTTTAACTTTCATTTTTGGAGTAGTTAGCATATTCTTCGTGTCATCCTCGGAAATTAATGTTTTGGGTTGGAGTAGGCCGCATTCCACCCCACACGCTGACATCCTCTTCCAGCGCCCACATTACCAAAAGAAAGAAAACTCCACCCAGGGACAATTTCTTTTTTATATTTCGGTGTTTTTGATGTTCTTGCACTATTTAGAAAACATGACGCAATACTCGAGTAGCAGATATATTTTAAATATGAATGGATGGGTTTGATGATGTGAGCATGAATATATGGTGCGAATAACAGGGAGAAAAAAACAACGGGATGAGGACAGGTAGCTCAATAAACAAGTTCTTTACTCTCCATTATTAACAAATAGTCAATGATTTAAGATACTTACAAACTCTTCTAGAAAGTTGCATCAAGACACATGTCAGTCTCTATTTATGCCTTTTCCAGTTAAAAAGTGTGAGAGGTTAATGATCAGCCCCCTTAGCTATTTAACAGGATCCCGTCAGACCGCAAGTACTGGGTGCGTGAATGTGCACGCAACTGAGGATCCCATGGAAACCGTGCTGCAGCAGCTGGTAGGTTTTCGCAGAATTGGTTTCATGGATCTACTGGAATGCATGTAACATAGTTTGTATTAGAGGAGGAAAAATAAACATTGTAACTTTTTAATGTTGCTTGTTTTGCCGCACAGCCCTGACCTCAACAGAATTGGTTTCATGGATCTACTGGAATGCATGTAATATAGTTTGTATTAGGGGAGGGGGGGGGAAATAAACATTGTAACTTTTTAATGATGCTTGTTTTGCCGCACAGCCCTGACCTCAATGACTGTCCTCGCATGTAAACTAAATGCGTAACTCAAAGGTTGCAAGTTAAAGCGGTGACTTATCCCAATCATTTTTTGCTTAGTCATTCCAAATGTCGTTATCTAGGGTTTATTTTAATCATTACATCAACAGGAAAGTAAATTACATGTGCCGGTTTAAATTAATTTATGTAAAAATAAATTTCTGTCAAAACAAGGCGGAATTTTACAATTTCAATACATTACTATATCCTACTGTCTATCTTTTACAAATAAAACTCCTTTGTACATAGCTTTGTAAAACTGAAATCGCCTGCTGTTTGTGCCTGCTTTATTCCAGGTTTTATAAATACACACCAAATAACGAATACGAGTATCGTTTAGAGATGTAACGAAAAGCGCGATATCGCGATATTAAAATTGCCATATCATCGTTGCCATGTTTCGACATGAAAAGCAATAAAATGGCCAACCTTATTTCTTCATCACACTGTTATTTTGTACAACAACAAAAAAAAAACACCAAAGTGTGCTTGACTTCATTAACTTTTATACATGAGCTTTTTGTGAGCTCTTTTTATATCGCCAAACTCCCCACATTATCATCAGAATTATCATATTGTGATGTTAATATCATGATAATATCGGATCATGACGTTTGGATATCGTTACATTCATAGTTTTCAGGTATCCATTTTCGATAGCACTTGTCTTCATTAGGCTCAAAGGTGGGGTGGAGCCTCTCACAGATGTGTTTGCGCTAGTTATACCTTTTGCAATTATGGCCTGAAAATTCACCCTTGGTTTCATTGAACCTGAACACATTTTCTCACACGTTTAGGAAATTTTAGATGAGATGATAGTATGCTGTCGAGGTAAAACCAGGATAAGTAGCAGGTGCAGGAAGTGAGCGATATTGCACCCATGTAGCAATAAAAGAAAATATGAAATGTACAAAAAAAAGGCGCTGAAGAGTCGGAGCTAGAAGATCAGGGGGCCCAGGACAGAACCCTGGGACACACCTGCAGGGGACAGTTGAAAATGACTTTCGCTGAATGAATTGAGTGTGCCGTTTTGGGGTATGAGTAGAACCAGTTTAGGACGGCGTGGGCGATGTCAATGGAGGAAAGTCGATTGAGGACGATCAAGTGCGAGATGGGCCGCACTCGAGTCCAGGAATGTTTTTTTATGACGTGCCGATCGACAGAGTAAAATGCTTTTGAGTTAAAGTGTCAGGATTAATCGTGTTATCTTTATGCTCGATCCTTTTAGGCGCGTGGGAATGCTCTTTTTCTCATCTTAATTTTGGGAATCGGAGGAAGCTTTCAGTCAGGATACCACATCACCTCCCTGAGTTCTCCCTCTCCGGTGAGACACGTCACGCGTGCAAGTTATTGCACGAGACGCTTCCTACGGTTTTCAGGTGTCATCCAATCAAGTCTCACACGTCACCGCGTGCCGGATCCAATTTTGGTTCAACGTGTGCATCTTTTGGTTCCTTTTCCGCGCAGTTCATCCAGCACTTCATCAACAGCACCTGGTATGAGAGATACGCGGCGCCGCCGCCACGACACACCGTCACCATCATTTGGTCCCTCATCGTGTCCATGTACGCCGTGGGGGGCCTCTTTGGTGCGGTCAGTGTCAAGTGCTTCTTGAGCCTGCTGGGAAGGTGAGTGCTCTCAGGCGACAGCTTTTCGAGCAGGTCCTCTCGAATCCCAACGCCGAAGGAGACGTGTTTGTCACCTCCGCCAGAAAAAAAGCGGTCATCTGTAACAGCTTCATCGCCATCGCTGCGGCCACGATCATGCTGACAAGTAAATGGGCCAAGTCGTACGAAATGATCATCGTGGCGAGAGTACTGTTTGGCTACTCGGCAGGTAAACACGATTGGCAGCCGCTTGATACCTCTCGAAAAAAAAGATGAGATCAAAAAGATGCATTTGATCAGGACTGCCATGTTTGTGGAGAGCGTTGCAACAGGGCACGTTATCTGTTGCAGTCTGCAACTTTTTGTTCGGGTTGCTACTAAATTCTCACAAGAACATGTTAGCACAATTGTTGTTAATTCATGATTGAGTAAGAATATAAGTAAGAATATTCTCCTGGCTTGCAGCTCTGGGAATGAGCACCCATCTGATGTACCTGAGCGAGATGTCACCCAGAAAGCTAAGAGGCACTGTCACCATGTCCTCAGCGACCTTTGCTTCCATTGGCAAATTGTCTGCTCAGTTTTTTGGCCTCAGGTATGATTTTTTTCCCCATTCAATTATAGTTTTGTATCACAAATAAATCATAATCCAATTATTATTTTTTTTAAACTAGAACACATTTAGTTCAAGTTGCCAAAATTTTTTTCTCTTTCCACGTTGTGAACATGATGTGATGATGAGAACAAAATCAAATCGGCGTTAAAAACGGGCACATCTTCATTTGGACTGATCTAGTCGAGCGTGTTCTCTTTCTCACAGCGAGATCCTGGGCCGCCAAGAGCTGTGGAACGTGGTCCTTTGTGCGCCCGCGTGTCTCTCGGTGGTCCAAGTGATGGTGCTGCCTTATCTTCCCGAAGCGCCCAGATATCTGTTCATCGAGAAACGAGATGACAAAGCCTGCCAAAAGGGTGAGTGAGTCTTCTTTTAACCATCACGTCCACCGCACCGCAACATCGACCGCAAATGAACTGTGTTGGTTTGAATCAAGGACAGGAGGGCATGAACATATTCTACTGTTTAAAATAAAATCCTTTAAAAAATATATATACACCAAGCTGATCGAGATGCATCGTTTTCCTCTCAGTCTGTCTAATCGCTGCCTTCCAGCTCTGCAGAGTCTCTGGGGCCAAGGCGACTTCAAGCAGGAAATGGAGGAAATGTTGACAGAGCAGGCAACTATGGAAGCGGCCCCAACAAAAAGTCCGCTGCTCCTCCTTCGGGACCAAACAGTCCGATGGCAGCTCATCACCATGTCCACCATTTACTGCTGCAACCAGTTATCAGGCATGTCCATGGTGAGGATGTTGTCACGCCGTACAAAAAGATTCCAAACCTGACAATATGACTGTCTCCTTTCCTCCCAGATCAGCACTTTTGCTTTTGACATCTTTCAGCGAGCGGGGATCCCGGCAGATCGCATCCGCTACATCACGATAGGGCTCGGCATAAGTGAAATCATCACCTCCATATCTTGTGTGAGTAGCTTCACTTGCTCGCGTGAAGACGACCTCTGTTTCTTTTTGGCCGAGATGTTGTGATTCGATTGACCTTTGACCCTGATCCGGTTGCCAGCCAATCGCAGGGCACACAGAGACGAACAACCATTCACGCTCACACTCACGCCTGGGGACAATTTAGCGTGTTCCATTAACCTGCCGTGCATGTTTTTGGAATGTGGGAGGAAACCGAAGTACCCGGAGAAAACCCACGCAGGCACGCGGAGGACATGAAAACTCCACACAGGAAGGCCGGAGCCGGAAATTGAACGTCGCACCTCTGCACTGTGAGGCGGACATGCTAACCAGTTGCTATGCCGCCGCCGTAGATGTAATATGTAGCATTGTACTGCATCACACTGAGATAGGGTTCGGATACTTCAAGGCTTCGGGACTGCGACAGCTCCAAATTTGAAACAATTGCATAGATTGGCTCAGCTGTAAATTGCTTGTATTAAAACCCAACTGGGATGTGTGCTACGTTCTTTCCCTTCAGGGTTTGTTGATTGAGCGCGCGGGGAGGAGGCCACTGTTCTGGGCCGGCTATGGCGTCATGTCTGCGTGCTGGCTTTCGGTTACGGTGGTGCTCAACCTGAAGGTAAAAAAAAAGTGAGGCCTCTGATGCTGTACATTCAAGGTTAATTCAAGTTCAAAACAGACATGAATAAAAAAGCCGATCTCAAATGCAATCCTGATAACGTCATATTCGTTTCATCTTGAAGGGTTCTGTCTCATGGGCTCCATACCTTACTGCTGTTTTGATCATCCTCTTCATCGTCTTCTTCTGCGGAGGCCCTGGTAACAGCGCACCTTTCAAAAAAAAAAAATAAATCCAGCTTCTGCCGTTTCTGTGCTTCACGGAGGGATTTTTGTGCTTACTTGCGAGGGGGAGCAGCGGGCACTCTCAACAGCGAGATCTTCATTCAGTCCAATCGGGTGTCTGCGTTTGTCCTCTTCGGGGTTCAGCGTTGGTTCGTATTAGCCGTGCTGGGCTTGGCCTTTCCCATACTGATTGTAAGCACGCGCGGAAGCGATTGCACAATTTGCACTGGCAGCACAGACAAAATAATGTGATTTTTTTTTCCAGGATGCGTTGGACTCGTACTGCTTTGTGATTTTTGCCTGCATGAGCCTGCTGGGTTGCGTTTATGTCTTCTTCTTCCTGCCCGAGACAAAAGGGAAGACGCTGCTGGAGATCTCGGACCAGTTTAAAGCCATCACCGTCTGCGGGAAGTCTTTTCCCAAAGAGAGACGGCTGGAGACTAAGTTGTAGGATGCACTGCTACTGCTGCGGCAGTGTGAACGTACTGTGGATGAACAGTGGGGCCACACTGTGTGACTGTGTGGAATGTCGTGCGAGTGTATTAGCTAATAAAGGAAAACACGCAACAGTGAAGCGCGGTGACTAAACTGTCTTGTATAAAGTCCCTAAAAGTGATACTTCAGTAAAAGTAAACAGAAAATAACTCAAACTGTATTTATAGAGAACTTTAAAACAAACACGGCTGTATACAAGGTATTTGTTACAGCTGCAGCGGTTGTTAAAATGCGATATAAATAAAACTGTATTGTATTGTATTGTATTCTCTTTGGTGTAGCTCCATCTGGTGGATGCATAATGTAACCGCAATCACTTTTGTAGCTTCTATTCTATGCACCTTATAATGCGGTGCGCCCTATACAGGAAAACAGTTTTAAAATAGGCCATGCATTGAAGGTGCGCCTTATAATCCAAAGCGCCTTATAGTGCGGAAAATACGGTAATTTAGTTTGAAACTCTAATTCTAAACACTAACACAAGTTTGAAACCCTACTTGTTACGCAACTGCAAGACATTCATTGGACAAAAAACATACTCCATGCATTATGAGTGATATAAAATATAATAATCAACCACATCAACCCTTGTGAAAATCTTTTTAATCTTTTTCAGATTCAAATTCAAGGAAATGGTAACAGGGTTGTAAATGATTGGATGAGATGGGAGGTGATGTAGACGTGAAGGTGGGCTGGCCAGCAAGATCGAGGTCAAAATAATTAGCGGGGCTGCAGTACGGGACACCCCCCCCCCCCGTACCATTTGCGCCTACAGCTGAAACATTTAGTTAATCTCATTAACTAGATATTTTTCCTACTCAGTGAAAAAAAATTCTATCAAAGTGTGGACCTTTATTCAAGGTCATGTGGTGAGTGGTGAGTATTAGCCAGCCACCAGTGGATGCTACTCTAGTTTGGTTATTGGGTGCAGATGTTCTTTTTCCCATGTGAGCAGGTTAGGTCACTCCTGAGTGAGGCCACATGCCCACCCCACTCTGGCCTGCTGGGGGCCAGCAAACGGCGGCCGTGACTTGTTGCCGGCCACGAGTGCGGATGCAGGCCCGCTGTCCTTAGGGACACCCCCTTCCCTGGAGTAAGGTTTGCACGGTCGAGCAGCAGGAGGAGGTTCGGGGGGCCAGTCGAGAGGCGAGTGCGTGGGGATGTAGTGGAGATGTTGGCAGCGTGGTGGCAGTCCTTCTCGGCAGATGGCCGAGCCTTGAGACTGGGGCGCGGAGGGGCTCATACAAAGCAGGTCTGAGACGTTGTAGCCCATGAGTCGGGAAGGCGAGAGAGGGTCCCCCTGCTCAGCCTGGCTGGCTGCTGACTCGGGGATGTCACTTGAGTTACTTTGGCTTAGGGTGAAGACCCCCACGCTGCTGCTATTACTGCTGCTGCTGCTGCTGCTGTCTGATAGGGTGAAGTTAGTGCCATCCGGGATGGACGCTGGACTGGTGGGCAAAGCAAGGGAACACTGCAGGCGAGACTGAAATAATCAGTACAGTATTAGTGTTTTCATGGAAAAGGGGGCGGGGCACTTAAAAATGTCCCGCTTGGAGAGAGGAACTGAAGATGAGAAGTTCAGCGGTTAGGAAAACTCTTGGCATCACAATCGACACCATTTTACTTATTTTTAAATCCGTCAGCTTGTTTACGGGGTCTTTCAATGCCTTGCTCGTGAAGGCATCCCGGAGAGGAGGATGAGGATGAGGAGGGTAAGTGTAGGAGGAAAAGGTGGGGGAGGAGAGTACCTTTAGGGAGCGTATAGGGAGGGCAGGAGGGAGGTCACCGAGTTGGTGGTGGAAAGCGGCAAAGTGCATCGACAGGTGTCGGCCTATAGGGGGCGACAACAGAAGGTCATGAGGAAGGCTAACTAGGATGCTAATGATGAGAAAAAAAACGAGGCGGGGGTGGGGAGGGGCGGGCATGGGGGTGTAGGTGTCTTCCTTTGTAATCTGGGATTTGCTGCAACGATTTCGGCATCTTGATAGAGCCGCTAAACGAAAAGCCGAAAGGAATAAGATGAAAGGTGACGCTTGCATGCGGCCATACCATGCGCTGGCGCATTCCGCGGAGGAACGGGAGGTGCCGCGCCGCCGCCGACGTGAGCGGACAGAACGGGTACGGCTTCTCTGCTCGCGCTGTCCAAACTCCAACTGCTGGGCACGGCCACAACTGCCAAAGCAAGTCAAGTTCTTGATTATTTGGTGACCTTGAATTGGGCACGCAATCCTGGTCGCAGCGACTTAGCGACCTTTGTCGGAGAAGGACAGGTTGGGGTCGCTGCAGGGTTTACAAGCTGGACTGATCAGCGGGTGAAGAAACAGTCTCTGGAAGAAGAAAGAGTGGCAAGTTTGGACGGTAACAATTTGACTGAAAGCCAAAGCAGGTTTTCATACACTGAAAAAAAAATGGCTCAATTCAACACACCATTTTTTTTTGTGTTGTGTGCACTTTTTCTGACTTAAGCACAGGGATGACACAGTTTGCGCCCCCTTTGCCAATAGTGAGGATTGATTGTATTGTGTTCTCCAACTGTACTGTGTAAGGTGTAAGGACAAGTGCTGACCTGTCCATCTTCGCCAAAGTTTTGGTACATGACGCTGTTGGGGCGCTCTCGCTGCAGTGGCAACAGCATCAGAGTTTCTCTATTCCTGCTCTTTTCTGCCATAGAAGACGACAAGGAGTTGAGCGAGATGGCGAGTCGCTTTTTGGGCGTGTCCGGTCTCTTTACCTTTGTGCGTTGACAGAGCCAAGCTGATGAAGTGAGAGGGTGCCGAGTGGGTGGAGCTCAGGCTGGAGGAGGAGTGGTTTGCCTGCAGTCAAATATTTGAAATGTGCCCAGAAGTCAACATTCGGGTGTTTGCGATGATCTGCTTGAATCTATATTTTCATCTATCATCTATTAGATGGGTTTCAATGTTGGCAAACATTGCCTCCAAGATGCGCGCGCATCTTAATGACGTCACTGCTGTTTACAAAGACGAGCATTCTTAATTGCCTCCTCAGTCCTGAGCGCATGTGGAAACCAGTGTGGTGGTTGCTGTTGCAGTTTCCGAACAAAGCAGCAGAGGTCGCTGTGGCATGCTGAGGTTGGATTAGACTTTTGCGGGAGGCTTGTTTTCGTAGCAGTGAACGTCATTTCGAGGCAAGGGTGGAGAAAAAGATTTCCTATTACGCAACAGGGGGGATTTTCGTTGTGGGGGGGGGGGGGAACCAGAAAAGAGGGAATGGCTTCATGCATTAAGATTTTTTCACACTCGGGGGTATTTTCGCACATGTAGGTTTCGTTGTAGAGGAGTTTCACTGTATGACGACCACACAAGCGTGTGTTTTCTGCCTCCAAGATGCGCACGCAGCCAGACTTAATGTATGCATACGTCACATGAAACTGATCTATTGGAATGAAAAAGCATGCAATTCCATTTTGGTGACTTGAGAAGTTGGGGTTAAGAAGGGCACTCGTCACAAGCGTTTTGCATTTCAACTCTTCAGTTATTCATTGTAAACGTGTCCACTATATTAGGTATAAAATTATGAAGGGTTTCATTTCATACATCTGACATTTGAACAATTTGTGGACCGGACCTTTTGATATTGCTTCTCAGCCCTTTCCTTTTCTAACCTGAATGCCGTAGAAGTCTTCACCGTCGGCCAAGATGAGCATATTGCCAACGTTTCCCGTCTCGCTGGAGATGCGAAGAGAGGAGGAGCGAAGTCGGGCAAAGTGGGAAGAAGACAAAGGCCCAGACGATTTCAACGGCAGCAGGAAGGAAGAGACAAAAGAAAAGGAGCAAGCAAGAAACTAAGCGATGATGACAGCAGGCCTGATTGGTCTGCACCAAAAGAAACGAGACGCATGCGGACAAGATGAGGGCTCGGTTGGATGATAATCAAGCAATCTCGAGATGAGAATCTTGTGAATGTTGGCTGGGACGAAAGACTCGTACCTGTGTCGGTGCACGTTGAAGCCGTCGGGTCCTGCAATCCCTCTGGCGGAGTCCGCTTGGTCGGAAGCCTGCGACGCAGTCATCGCATCATACAAATGGCAGATTTAGCGGCAGACGCGGACATCTTCTCTTTTGACGAGCGTCACATATGCATGTTCCTTGTCAGCGCGTCTCGGTTTGTAGCAGGAGCAGGCGCGTGCTCAAAACATCTGGGTCATTACTTCAGGCCCGTTCAACAAGGTCGCGATTATTGCTTGTCCAGTTTTTCCGCCGTCCTCACGAAGAGCAAGCGGATGAACACTCGCAACAAAATGGCCGAGTCAAACATGTCACGAGGAAACCCGAGATGACGATGACGTTGACTTTGAAGATTTTGCCATCAGAGGTCCTTACATGGCAGAGGCTGCTCTTCATCACCTGGAACTGATCCACCAGCTTCTTGTGCAGCGGCCGCATTTCGGGATGCACCAGCTTGTCGTGCACAGCCAGGCCGGCTCCCAGGACGTGAACCTGAAACAAAGGCCTTTGGCTTCAGCTTTCCGTTGACTGACACCTCATTGCACGAAAAAATTGCACTCGTGGCCCTTTCACGTCTCACCTGCTCCTGCATCAAATGTTTCAGCTGTGTGATCTTGTCGCCGTCCTGCGGGTGGCTGCTGATGTAATCCTTGTCAAAAAAAGCCTGGCAGCCACAAACAACACAACCGACGGCGTCTTTGTGAGAGGGAAAAAAAAAAACGTCGCCGCAGACAATGGCGGTCACTTGACAAATGGCCGCGCCCACCTCCTGGTATCTGGCGATGCCGCCATTGACGGCGGCGTCCACCACTCCGTTGAGCGTCATGCTGAGAAGGTTGACGTTGTTGCTGTGCGGCTGCTTGAGCTGATAGCGGCTGATCAGCGTGCGCAGCTCCTGGTTCTTGTTCTCCACCACGCTGACGGCGTTTTCCAGCGGACTCACCTCCACCTGAAAAGAGATCAGGATGTCATTTCCGTCAAAGTGTTCAATATCCACGCCAGACTCGGCTCTGACGGGGATGCTCTACTCAGGAGGTGCTGAAGCCACTTTCCAGTCAGGTTTTAGAATTAGCCTGAAGTCCCGCAGCCATTCATATGAATGTGTGTGTGTGTCAACATTTGTTCATTCATTCATTCATTCTCTCACCAGCTCTCTCTTCTCCACCTCAAACCAGCGTGAAATTCCAGGCAAAGAATGGGCAAGGATCAGAGTGGTCCTCTCGATCCAAAGACTCTGCAAACACAACAAAGTGGCTGACATCATCAAAAGGAGCCCAAAGGCTGACTTGTGGACTTTATGAGTATGATTTCACGTGGTAAAGCAACATTACACTAAAAATTAATTTTCCTTCATTCAATTAGGTGGTGTGTAGAAACATTAAACCTCTGCCCGCACATTTCAAAGCATTGATGGAAAAATGGCACAGCAGTGTAAATTCGGATACATATTTGGGTGTTCTCATTTTTGTGTCTAGTCTTTGTATTTGCCAAAATAATCCCCCAAGTTAATTTCAATGATTGCATGACAGATTCTTGTGCATTTACATGAAGTGCATAGTTATTTTTTTAAATATGTAGTTAAATAAATAACTTCTGGAAGAGCATCAGGGTCTAAGAACATGGCAATCATGTGAAAACGGAAGACAAATTCCAGATGCCAACATTTTTTTCCGAGGTGTGGGGGTGGCCACAGAGTGACAAGGGGTGGCTTTGGCCATCCCCGGCCACCATGTAGCTCCGCCCCTGCCTGACATAGGTAGGAGTGCTATCGAAATGACGGCAATCCTCGAACGACGTCAAACTGTTTTTATTTTTATTTTTTGTGTCGCAAAACATACCAGTAAATAAGTCCAAAATGAACAATGTCGTGTACAGCACGTCGTACCTCACGGGGATTACGGCAATTGTTCCAAAATGTCCAATATGGCGGCATACAGGGCATGTCCTAATTTTTTGGGGAATCAGATGCCATTGATAGTTGCACTATTCATGTTTGCGCAGGGGATGTAATACAATGAAGGAAAATGAATTTTCCGTGGCGTGTTGGCTTTCAGACGACGATGACGCGTCAACGTGCACTTTGTGGAAGTGCAAGCAACTTAAATGACCTTGAACTCATTATCTCGGTCTTTGGGTCCTTTATGAAAAGGTCGGTCGTGACGGAAACGCCGAACGTTGTTGACCCGGTAAAAACTTTTGATGCGGTCGGGGACTCGGTCCAACTGAAGGACATCGACAGCTTCGGGAACCGGCGTGACGGCGTAAATCTGGAGGTCTGGGCGCCGCCGGTCAAAGAAACTGCCTAGAGTGAGTCACGCGTGCACACGCACATACAGGCAATCACAAAAAAAAACAAACAAAAGCAGGATACACTGGGCGTCAGACTGCAGAATGGCTTCGTCGGGTTGGTTCGGGTGCTGCATGGCGATGGCTTGCGGGAACTCTCCCAGCATCCGTTGCTGAAAGGCCTCAAGTCTTTCGTAGTCATGACCGCGACACACAAACTCCTTATTCTAGTGGAGACACAGTCCAAAGACTTCAGATTTGCGCACCTTGGACAACTTCTCAATGAGCGTCAGGCCCAGACTGCAGGCGACATCCTAATGCCGTATCTTGTTCCAGAAGCTTATCTTCTTGAGCGGCTAAGATTTTCATCCGATAGCAAAAACAAACAAAAAAAAAAGGTTCAACTGACCCTGAGGAAGAAGGGGAATTTCCTGCCGTAGAATCCCACCCGGAAGAATTTGGGTTCCAGACGTTGTTGCTCCATGATGTAGTCAAAATAGGCGGCCTCCAATTTCTGCAAACACACAAAAAAAAGACGAAAACAGAAGAGGAGAGTTTTTCTTTGACCTCAGCACGATTTTGCAGTTAGCGAAGTGGTGAACCGCGCATCTCGCGCCTTTTTCGTGCTCACCTTAACCCAGCTGAGGCTCTGATAGTCGTACAAGGATTCATACTGGAAGGCCAGCTCCCTGCACAGAGGAACCCCAAACTCCCAACACTGCACTCACACAAACGTGCGCGCACACAAACACGCACGCCCACAACGCCAACAACGTTAGCCGCGGCTTTTACTGACCTCAGAGGTCACTTGGGCGACTCCTGCCGCGTCGACTTCCACTTTTGCGCGGATTCACCCAAAAGAGCGGATGAGCTTTACCTTCCCTTTGCCGAAGTAGTGGACCAACTTGCGGCCGAGCGCCTCCTTGCGCTGCCACTCGGACTGAGCGGGATAATGCAGAAGTTCTTTCGTTGGCCGCTCATCCCACTGCAGCAACTCCCAGTACAACAAGAGCGTGAACGCCGCCTCTGTGGATCCACATCGCAAACACGCACATATGCAGTCGCCATCGCGCGCGAGTGTGTGTCGGATTTACATCTCCTCCTTGTTGAGCGCCGATTTGTAGAAGTTCTGAGCACCGACAGTGTGTTAGCGACGGATCCGTCGCCCTCCGTTCGGCCAGTCACCGTTTGCGCCGCCGCCGAATCTTACCAGGAGGTTGACGGTGCAGCCCATCTTCTTGTTCTCCGTTTCATCTCCTCTCATGCAATCCCTGAAGACAGGACGGACAAAGCTCATCACTTTTTCTATTCCTCGCACGCGGTTGATCATGACCGATATCCATCGGAAAATGTGAGCGTGTGCGTCACCTGTAGTCCAGTAGACGTTCCATCAGTCGCGTGACCGAAGTAACGAAAGAGATCCCCGTCTCTCTCCACGTTTCCTGCTCGATCTTCTCCAACAGACTTGAAGAAGACCAAAAAAGAAAAAAAAAAGCAACTGATGAATTTGCTTCTCCTCTTTGGCTCAGTGAAGACTTTTCATATGCAACACACACATCACACATAAACACAATTCATCAATCTCGACTCTGAGTGTCTCTCCTCCCTCATTCGAGCTGTCCCTTTAAAACGGAATCGAAATGACGTCTTCACTATATTGCTGTTTTTTTGTCTTTGAATTTGCTTCTCCTCTTTGGCTCAGTGAAGACTTATGCAACATATGCAACACACACATCACACAAACACAATTCATCAATATAGACTGAGTGTCTCTCCTCCCCCACTCGAGCTGTCCCAGTAAAACTGAATCAAAATGACATCTTCATGATATTGCTGTTTTTTTTGTTTTCTTTTTCTGTCAATGCGTTTGAATTCTTCTGTTGATCAATGCAATTCAAGTGGGGAGAAGAGACGGAGAAATGAAGAGATGTTAGTGGAGATGTTAGTTCATGCATACCTGGGGTACGGCCCAAAGAGCTGAGTTCTAATCCCCGTCGCACAAAGCAAATGCACAACAGCAGCGGTAGTGCACAAAAAAGGAAGGTTAAAAAAAAGAAAATGAGTTGAAAGAAACACAACTTAGGCCTCTAATGACACCAAACTTTCGGTTTACAGCAAACTGAAGAGTTCCCGGTAGTTGTCGTCGCCTTTTCCTTCCGAGACCAAACTGTCCAGCTTGTCGATCAGCTCGGCCTCCACCTAGACCACGACGACAAAACCCGCAAATCAAGTCCCAGGGTTAAACACGCAAACAACACGTGTGGATAAATACAGTATGTGCCTTGTTGCTATGGAAACAATGTGACACTGCCTCGCCGCTAAGGACACGTGTGAAGGCGGAAAGTCTGAAGTCTAAAGCCAACCTGTTTGAAGTTTCCATTCTTACGCTGCTCCCAGTCCATCATGTCGTGGAAGATTGGGATCATGATGTTTCGGACTTCCGCCTGAGGCACCAACGTGACGCCCAAGAACGGGCCGATCATCCCGGGGATGAAATGTCTTTTGTTTTCGCCTGGGGCACATTGGAGGAGCTTTTGCAACAGGTGTCAACCGAAGCTTCGAGCAACGCTCGGGCGGCGGTTTCTTACCAAGGTTCTGCCACATGCTGAAGAGTTCGTACGTCATGGTCACCCTCATGTCTCCGTACCTGCGGTGACATTTCACGTCAGCGTTTCAGATTGGAGGCCAGATTGATGCTCGCCCGCACTCAAGAAGAAACGTCGAATGATATCATGTCGCTGCCTGCTTTCACCGTGACCACCCGGAAATAGTTTTGCCAACACCCGAAATGGGACGCCGGTTAATTACACAGCACATAGGGAGACAGACGATGAATTCCTTTCACATCGTCACCTTCCTTTTGTTCCTTTCTCAAATATAATTCTTCATTTGACGAGAAAATGTTTTTATTCATTTTTTTAAAAAATATTTTTGTGGCTCAAAATATGCATCACATCTGCTGACGTGCGACGACCGGCGCCAAAAATGTACTAAGCTTTTCACCTATTGGGAGGTTAAACCATGGAGAGAGTTTGGGGTGGGAACATGCTCCCCCGCCCCCCATACTAGAATAAAGTGTAATACTACAGTAAGTGGCAGTGGCGTTCTTAAATGCAACATGCATACTTGTATATATTTTTTATACATACAGGGAAAAAAAATGTATGATGACAGACTGAGGACGCGGCCGCGTGGCTTAGAAATGATGAGGACTTCATTTCGTGGGCGCAGCTCCAAGCAAAAGTGAACTTTGACATGCTGAATTTGGCTCACGGAAGCGTCTTGCACAAACGGGTCCTTACTTGTCAAAGATCTTCTTCCTTTTGGATGGACTCATGTTTTCCAGCTGCAAACTGGGCTGGTTGATGTATAAAACTGCCAGACTGAAGTAGGAGCTCCATACCTGCGCTCACAAAGTCGAAAATCCTCAGAAGAGTAACGCGGCGTGCGCCGAATAAATAGGAATCGGGAATTGATCACATGGCGGTGTGGCTGAACGACGCCGGCGCGGTTACCTTGAAGTCAAAGTCAGCTCCGACAAAGTTCTTGAGCTGAAAGGGTGCGAGGCGCTGCGCCGTGCTCAGGATGATGCTGAAGAGCACAAAACGGCAAAGTCAGTCACGTGACGGACGTCCTTGGCCTCCTTGCTGCTCTCCGTCGCGCCGCCTTACTGGCTGGTCAGGAGCCTCATCACGTTCCAGTCGCGCGGGAAAATGCTCAGCTTCATCAGGTTTCGGAACACGCACCAAATCTTCATCATGAACTCCTGAGGAGACAAACGCGCCACGTCCGTCCTCAGTCATCCAAGGCAGGCTGTTTGTTTTGCCGTCATTTAATTTTGCTGCTTTTTCGGGATCAACAAAGCGAAATTATTCAGCGCTTTTCATCGATAAAAAGGCAAGTCAATCAAGTCAATATTTGGTTGATCTTTTGAGAAGGTTGTTTGTGCCTCACAACGACAAGCGCTGTTCTTTTCTCTGGGCACCTTTATATCATCGCTGATACTTCTTGTGAAGTCTTCACAAGCCAACGTTTGAACCTTGGACGTACCTTGAGTACGTCTTTGCTCTGAAAGTTCTCCATCAGGTGTTGGAAGTGGATGTCAGTCATGTGACGGAGGAGGGACAGAAGGCAGGAGACAAACTCTCCCTGGCAAAAAGGAATTAGAGCCACGCTCGGGTCAGCCGACGGCAGTGCGGCGGCGAGCGTTTGGTGAAAGAGGAGGCGGCATCGACGGGACAGGAAACCATGCAGGAAACTTTGGCTTTCATCACATCGCAAAGAGCAACTTTCCAATTCAACTCAATGACTAACGTTACTGTTTACAGTCATCATCGCAGAGTGCAAACGCAATTTTCATGAAAGCCGAAAAGAAGTGGATGACAAACACAAGATGGGCGGGGTGGGGGTGGGGCTGGGGGGTTCATTGGACGGGGCAAAATGTGCCAACTTCTCATATGAATTTGATGAGAACAACAACGATAATAATGCCTTGGATTTGAATCAAAGGACCTAAAAATGCTGAACTGACAAGAAGATTTCCTTAATCCGCTACTTGTATTGCCAGGAGGAAAAGTTACTGCGGATGCGTTTGACAGCCGCCCGCGGAGTCACATTTTGCCCCCGCCCGCTGATGGCAGCTCGTGAGAAAACTTTTGGATTGTTAGTTACTAACAGAGGTCTCGGCGGTGCACTGTGGACAGCGATGACCTCTTACCGCCTCCTGTGATTGGCTGTTGCTCATGATTGACAGCAAGGTCTGCAGCAGGACATCCAACAGAGACTCCACCATCATTTCCACCTCTTCGTGCACCGACGCATCCTGGGAAAAGACGAGAGGAAGCGGAGGAGGGAAAAAAACAAAACAAAACATGATGCTACTTCATCTTTTCATTCTTCTCTGAACAGTGGCACACTGATTTTTTTTTAATTGACACACATCATGTGATGTGGTCTAACTTGTAAACATTTCATTGTCTCAGAATGTCAGAGTTAACTAGAGTTAAAAAAATACTCTTTTTTTGTGTGCATGTCGTGTGTGTGTGTGTGTGCGTGTGTGTGCGTGCACGTGTTACCAACGAGCTGGTCTTGATGATTGAGAAAAGAGAAGTGAGGATCCCAGAACACATGAGCAGTTCTTTCTGATGCCTGAGATGGAGATGAATGTGATGAAGAAGCACGGGCAGTAGAATCCGTCGAGACTCTGACCAACCAGGCAAACAGCC